GCAAACTTTTACTTCTTACTTCATATGCTTCTAAGCCATTTGAGATTTTTTTTACATCGTGTCATTTAGCAAAAATGTTCCATTTTCTACAGAGCTAACTACAAAGTTGTCACCGTGCCTTCAAAGTATTTGACAAACATAACTCTACATTCCTTTTCAGTTCTAACCAATTACTTCTTTATGTGTGTTGTTGTCTCAGACTCTTGGCAAACTATCCCACACAATTCTCTTAGCCAACTTGACTGACCACACACTGGTAGATTATTCTCCAACATGAAGGGTGTAACACTTCCGGTTCTCCTTGGTGAAGCTGTGTACATACCAATGATATTAGCTTGTTTGTTCACAAACCAATATATGCCAGTTGAGCTTATTATCGTAAATCTATAATCCAATTAAATCTTATGTAAAGCCAGGAAGTACAGATGAGAAGAGAAAAATGATAGGAGCAGCTAAAACTAAGTTCTTACTACCTGCCGGACACTGTTCTAAATGTTTTCTATGAACTAACTCGCATACTCTTGACAAGAATCCCAGGAAAGGGATACTGTCATCATTCCTATTCTACAAAGGAAGAAACTGAGCAGGATGCCATGGCCTACACAACTTACAAGTAGAAGAGCAATCTGGCTTTCGGGCTTAAGAATTTGGCTACTAAACTTCATAGCCTCTCTGGTTTTTATATTAAAACCGGGTCCATTGCTCTGGATAGATAAAGGCCAGTCAGGTGAATATACACACAGGTCTGACAAATGTAGGGAGGATAACTACACAGGTTGAAAGGAAGTTTAAAAGCACCTAAGAAGATTCTGCACTCAGACTGCTTTGTAAGCGACTGTAAGCATCCACTCTATGTCAAAGAAATCAAACATGATGTAGATCAAAGTTGGCCAACTTTATGGAAGGAGTCAAATAGTAAACATGGGAAGTGTGTGGGCCATGTGGTTTCAGTTGCAACTATTCAGCTCTGCCTTGTGGGACAAAAAGCAGTCAGCGACAATAACACAGTTGTGTTCCAATAAAGCTTGTTTGCAAATACTCATCAGCCAGGCTGAGAGTCCACTGATTCCGGAGACTTACTCCTGAAAAGTCTGAAGCTTTATGTTAAAATAAGGAAGGACATCTGTATTTTAAGGAAACATAAAACGCATGCAACTAACACCCACAAGATTTCCTGCTTTAACTTACGTTTCAATCAACTAATGGCCATAACTGCTAAGAGGGGAACTCTGGCCTAGGAAGAGATGTGTGCCTTCTTTCCTGCTTCACATGTTTGCGGTGCTTACCCCCTCAATTTGGAAACCTTTGATTCTCATCTTCACTGGGATCCTACTCATTTTCAAAGCCCATTATCTAAGAATACAATCTCCTCCAAACAAGATCAGATCTCTTCCTCTTTGGAAATCCCACAATAATTAATTTCTCCTTCTCGTGGGACTGTTTCTATTATAGTTATTTATGTTCTTTAATTACCCCTACTACTTAACTACAAGGACTTCAAGGACAGGAATGCTGACTTAATCATTTTCCTAGCCCTCACAACACCTAGCACAGTGTCTTAAACATAGCAGGCTTCTAGATATCTTTTTAATTGAATTTTCACATTTTTCTACTTTGACTGTGTGAACAAACATATATTCAATTGTTACCCCTTATCATTGTACCAATGATACACAACTTGGTCATAATTTTAAACTATTAATTTTACAATGCATTTCCCAGTACAGATTAGTATGGGGGCACTTGTGCATAAAAATTGTCTTCCGGGTTCGTGAGCTCCGGGGGTGGGGGATCCAACAGGGCTCGAGTCGCTTAGCCCTGGTCCCTTGGCTCACCTGAGTGGTGGGTACTGGTTTTGTGAGCCACCGGGGGTGGGAGATCTGGCGGGGCTTGGGTTGCCTGGCCCAGGTCTTGAGGCCCACATACAAGGTGGGTGCTGGGTTTGTGAGCCCTGGGAGTGGGGCACCTGACAAGGCTCATGTCACCTGGCCGTGGTGCTTAATTCTGCCCATGAGTGAAAAAGGCATAGCTGTAGATGCTGAACCTGATATATGGAGACTATGGCAGTCCATTTGGTACCATCACAGAGGAAGGAGAACAGAGCAAATTGGACAACTACCCCAGCAAAACACGGCAGCAAAAATTTGGGTGAATGGAGACTTGAGGTCGGCTATGGCAGCCAGTGGGCACTGGGAGGACTGCCTTACCTTTGGATTGGTGAAATCGGTAGCAGTGCAGAACTATCCAAACCACTTGACCAGAACCCTCGGAACATGCTCTCTAGTGGGACCCTGGGCTGATATCGGGTGACAGTTCCCCATCCCTGGGTACTAGGACATTTGGGAGGCCAAGTGTGCCTTTCCCTTTTATTTCCCCCCTTCCCCTCAAAGACAAGAAGAAATGGAGAATCAGGAGGCAATGATTTCACCCACTTTTCCCTGATCCTCAATTCTTCCCACCCTGGTCAACCCTGTAATTACCATCAAATAAGTAAAAAACTTAAAAAAAATTGGGGGAGGAAGGGGAATGGAAAAAAAAAAAACAACCTGTCACCTCTGCTGCAAAACTGCTCATCATTTGAAAGGAACTGTTCAAACTGCTGCTGCCCACTCAGACTTCAGGCATTCAATTCATTGCATAAACACATCAAGCTGTGTACTTCAGCAAAATAAATAAACAAAAATGCTGACTTCCAAAGCGCTCGGTCAATGTCTAGGTCTAATCTACTAGTATGAAGCATTTAGAGAGCTTGGCTCAAGCTCAGGGTGTGTTAAAAGAAGGGCTGGGACATGAACTTGGGTTTCTGGATTCCTAGTTCAATATTTCTAGTTGGGAGCTATTCTGATGTTGGAAGGCAATGGCTTTTTCAGGTGCACATAATGATGCGATCCAAGGCTGAAAGCTGAGGCGCACTCACCACATCTCCCTTCCTCAAACTGTCCAGAAAGAGCAGCTGTGTTCCCACTAGTCTGGCTATGCCTCTTTGTGGCATTCCACTGCCCAAAGGTCTGGTTTTAGGCTTTCTATTGTGTCTAAGAAGGCCACTTATCCACCCTGGATAAAAGACCTCCACACAAGAAGGCAAGATAGGTACAATCCACGTTTCCCCATGAAGGACCTCGGTTTGTTCTAGAAAGTGGGGTCAGAAACAGCTATGGTACTTTCCCACTGCATTTTTCCTCTGGAGAGATGGCCAAGTTCACATGCTCTACAGAGCTATGGCAACAGGGTCCAGTTCTGGTGGTGCTGGATTCCAGTTGCGTTATTGCTTTCGCACTGTCAGCTTTCACTGCCTTAATTATCTTAATCCGTAAAATAAACACAAGAAGCCAACCAGCAGCCCCATCCACAGAGGGCTCGTTTACTGAACAAATTATTGTTCCATACAATATTTCTCACTCTCCTTGTCCCTGCTGCTCCAGCCCCTCCCCAAGAACTTTGGACAATAACACAATCACTTGCACTTAAACAATGCAGGCCAAGCAACTCAGATGGTTCACAGCCTGGATGGCAATTCTAATATTTCTAGAAGTTACCTATAAAAGGCAAGAGCCATCTCTGGGATCTCTGAAAAACAATCCTAAGCGAGTAAACTAAGTATTGAGGCAACAAGGATGAATTTGTTGTGTTTGTTGTGTTGTTCCTCCCCACTCCCCCACTCTAAAAGAACTTATCAGATCCCATTATGGACAAGAAGGCTTATCCCTAAGTAGTATATCAACTGCAATAAAGAGCAGAAGAGTGGAAGTGCCCAGAAGTACAGAGTTCTCAGGGAAGGAGTTATCTACTTCCCTTCCACTAAATAATGTTAGCAGATGAAACCAATCACATGAGGGCTATCTGTAGTGCCAACCCAAGGGAGAGAAACCTTGAGTAAAAACAAAAACTCCAGCAATGACATCCACAGAAATGGATACTGCACCTGCGTATTCACACCTGGGCTATGCCAGCGCTACTCCAAGGTTGATTCAAGAATGAGACCAAAGGCAGACTTGTGTAAGACTCAGAGAGGGAGGAAACCGGAGGCTCGCGAGTAGGCAGCAATTGATTTCGACTTAAGGACAGTCACGGGAAGGTTTAGAAAACCTCGGGGCTGGGCTGGGGATTTTCTGGCTCCCAAATTGTCCCCTTGCCATCACTCAGAGCACTCTCGGTCTCCTGCACCTCACCTGCATGGAATACAGGTGGAATACGAGAGGACTTGGCGCAAACTGCATGCCACAGTCTAGCAAGAACCACTCTGTCAGGGCAGCAGTGCTCGAGGCGCTGTCATATTCTCGCGCGCCCCTCAGCTCAATGAATCCTGAATCGAAGGACCAGAACCCAGCCCTACTCTGCCCTTTGCTTCATGTGACCTCGGACCAGTCCCTCTAGAGCTGAAGTTCCTTCGTTTACTTCGCTGGAAACCCTGGGGTTATGGGGAGATCTGAATTGAAATAGCCCCTGACGTTTACAGCTTCTTGACCAACTAGCACGCGAAAGCACTACCAAAACGACCCGTTGCATAGCCGGGGAAACTGAGGCAACGCGCACGCCTGTCCCAAGGTCACTCCGGCTCCGTGGCTGCAGGGGACAGGCCAAAGCTCAGATCCCCAGAATTCCAGTCCTGGACTCGGTCTCCTCCGCTGAGCCGAGTGCGGCGTGGAGGGTCCTTGACCCGCAGAGGACGGCGCCCGTGATTGGGCCCTAAGAGAGGGGCGGGGGAGGCCTTACCTTCCCAGTTCGAGTCCCGCCGCCGACGCCTTCCGCTCAGAACCTTAGCCGGTCTGCCCTCAGGATTCTTCACAAGCCCCCTCCACTGGTGCCCGGCTCGACGTGTCCACCGCAGCCCGAGGCCGCGGATTCCCGCCCCCGCCCCGCCCCCAGGCCGCCCGGTCCAATCCCGACTCCAGACTCGCCAACTCCGCCCCTGGAGAGGCCTTGCGTCACGGGACGATCGCGCCCGCGCCAGCCTCTCATTTGCCTTTGCCCCACCTTCCCGGAGTCGAGTCTCCTCTGGGCCTAGTTACCGTGCCAGAGTTCGCCCTGCCGGAAAGCAGCCCGCCCCCGCGCTGCGGCCTTTTGCGACGGCGGTGGTGACAGGACCCGGGGGGCGTCCGGCTTCCTCTCCGCGCTGCCGGGAGAGAACGGGCGCGATGTTCGGTGCGGGGGACGAGGACGACACTGACTTCCTGTCGCCCAGCGGCGGGTGAGTGGCTGCGAAGCCTGCACTAGGGGGACGTGACTGAGAGGCGGACTGGCGGATGATTGCAGGGGCGGCTGGAGCTCAGGCCTTTTCCGTACTTCCGGGTCCAGAGGATTTTATTTTATCATCATCACCATCATTATTTACTTGTTTATTTTGACCACTTCCTGCGGCCCCACCTGTCTCAGAATCTGGGCCGAGATGACGGCTGTGCTGAGTCCACCGTTCTGGGTTCCGGACTCACCATCTCCTCCTGACACACCTCGTGATCCCGGGGTCCGCCTTTTGCTTTTTGGGTCGTAGTTGCTCAGGTGGAATGAGGCTGATTGCGGATGGGAGTAGGCTTGCCGTGGAGTTTTTACAGGAGTCCGCTGTCTCTGTGGACCTTGGAGCTAGGCCCTGGTGATGCCGCGCCAGCATTTTTCAAGACCAGGCTTGGATGTCACTTTTTTTTTTTTTTTTAAAGTGCTCGCTTTCTCTTCCTTTTTTCCCACGGCGAAGCTTTGTCCATCAAACCTGCTAGGTGCTGAGCTCCGACAGGACAGGAAACCGCAGTGTTCATCCCACAGATGAACAGGTCGTGCCTGTTGAATGAATTTTAGCCACGGAGTTTGACTTTGTCAACCCTCAGAGAGAAGGGTTGTTATCCCCTGTCCTCAGTCATACTGTACGCATGTCTGGTAGATGACTTCCAAGGAGGATGGGGCATTCATCTCTAAAGAATCAGGGTAGCTCTTTTCATGTGTTACAGTACACGCCTTGACTCGTTCCTAACTGGGGACTTTCTGAGCTCCTGTCCTTGTGGAGACTTTCTTTGACACCTGTTCCATAAATTTTGTGCAACCTGAAGCATGCAGTAACGCTTGCACCAGCGTGGGTCTCTAATTCTGCTAAATGCTGAAAAGTTATACTGGCAGTTAAATTACCGTGCCGCCCTCATGTGGCACTGCTGTTGCAGAGTTTGAGACATGAGTGAAGGTATATTCAGTATAGTCGTTGACATTGCTTGGGATGACCATATTCCATATCAGAGTGTCTCCCTGGATTTCGGCTTCCTGTTTGTGTGCTAGTGGGAGGCAGCAGGTGATGGGTGGCCCAGAAGGTTGGGCCCCTGGCACCCACATGGGAAACACTGGGTTTCTGTCTTAGACATTTGAAGGAGTGAACCAGCAGATGCAAGAGCTCTCTTTCTTGCTTCCTCTCTTCCTCTCTCCCTTTCAAAAATAAGAAGATTTTAGGGCCAGCACTGTGACATAACAGGCTAAGTTGCTGCTTGCAAGGCTGGCATCCCATGTGGGTGCTAATTCAGGTGTCTGCTGCTCTGTTTCTGATCCACCTGCCTGTGCATGGGCCTGGGAAAGCAGCAGCAGAAGGAAGTCCTTGGACTCCTAAATCCATGGGGAGATCTTGATGAACTCCTGACTCTTTGCTTCAGCCTGGCCTGGTCCAGGCCATGGAGGCCGTTTGGGGAGAAGACCAGTACATGGGATAGCAATCCTTCTGTCTTTAACTCTGCCTTTCAAATCAAATCAAATCAAATCAATCTTTTTAAAAATGGGAAATGTTAATGAGATCTTTGGACATTTACTGGCTAGCTCTATGTGACATATTTGCTTTTACTTTCCCTGCTGTCTTCCTCCTGTCCACACTTTAAATGGCTTGCTTGGATCCACCTAGTTCTGCTTTGAATCCCATCCGTTGCTCAATTATCTTGAAATTTAGCCATGCTTGTTCTTTCTTCCTGTTCTACCCACAACATTCACTAACATTTTTGTACAGTCTAACTTCTCTGCTTTTGCTGACTGTATATATATTTTTTGAGCTATATTTTGCATTTTTTGAAAATTTCTTTTGAATGTGAATTGCACTTAAAACTCCTGGCTTTGGGGCCCAGCGCGGTAGCCTAATAGCTAAAGACCTTGCCTTGCAAAAGCGCTGCCATCCTATATGGGCGCCAGTTCGTATCCTGGCAGCCCCACTTCCTATTCAGCTCCCTGCTTGTGGCCTGGGAAAGCAATTGAGAACATCCCAAAGGCTTGGGACCCTGCACCCACGTGGGAGACCTGGAAGAGGCTCCTGTCTCCTGGCTTCGGATCAACACAGCTCCTGCCGTTGAAGCCACTTGGGAAGTGAATCATCAGATGGAAGAGCTTCCTCTCTGTCTCTCCTCTGTGTATATTTGTCTTTCCAATAAAAATAAACGACTCTTTAAAAAAAATTCACATTCTAAACTGTGTGAATAGGAATGCTACAGCTTCCATCTCTCGGGCCTCAAGAGGAACACTGCCCACTTAGTGTTACAGAGCAAATGACAGAAATGTGCTCTTTCCCTGCGCCAAGAGAAGTTCCTTAGTTCTTTTTTTTTTTTTTAATTAATTACATTGCATTATGTGACACAGTTTTATAGGCTCTAGGATTCCCCCATCCCCTCTCCGTGCCCTCCCCCATAGTGGATTCCTCCACCTTGTTGCAGTATTGTAAAAATATGGAACGCTTTCATGAATTTGCGTGTCATCCTTGCACAGGGGCCGTGCTAATCTCTGTATTGTTCCAATTTTAGTATTTGTGCTGCTGAAGTGAGCACCCTAAGTTCTTTTAAAATATTTTTTTTTGTTTCTTCCCTTCTTCCTTCCTTCCTTGTTTTTTTTTGAAAGACAGATAGGCTTTCCACCTGCTTTACTCCCCAAGTGTCCACAAGAGCGAAGATTGAGCCAAGCCCAGCTGAGGTCCCAAAATCTAATCCCGGTCTCCTGTGGGCTGGCAGGGGCCCAAGCACTTGAGATACCACCTGCCCCTCCGGGATGAATATTAGTTGAAAATGGGGGAACAAGGTCCTGAACCAGACAATCCCGTATGAGATTGGACACCCCTTGTGGCGCCATTAATCTTTGTGCCAACTGCCTTCCCCTCCAAGAGAAGTTCTTAGTGGCTCCTCTTCTGCTTTCATGAGCCTGTTTATGAAGGCCTGAGATACTTTTTAATTCTGGGCATGTGACTGTTCTCCCAGGCAGAGCTAGCAGCTAATTTGATAAAGACTTAGTACAGAAAATGAAGCAAATCATTAGTTATTGTTCTCAGCTATAACAAGGAAAATGGAATCAGCTTTAAGATCGAGACTATAGAAGGTTTTATCAGCAGCTCTTTCTTCCAGGTTTTTCTGAGGAAGTAGGACACATGACAGTGAACACTGCGGCTGCTGCTCAGTTCCTGTTTTTTAGCTGTAATTTACTATGAATATGCTTGTATGATTTTCACGTCTCTTGACTGAAAGGCATAGTTTACATTATTCTAGTTAGGATATTCAAGCATAATAGAAATAAGAGTATAGGTGCCTTGGGTGGCTGACTAGATGACTGATAATAGGTCTTCCAAGACTGGTTAGTGTTGAGGTAGCAACCAAGGGACATATTTTTTTCTTTTGTTGATTGTGATTTTAGTCCTTTCCTTACCATTGTGACTTGAATTTTTTTTTCTTTATTTAAAATGCAGAGAGAGGAAGACAGAGAAATGTCTTCCATCTCTGGTTCATTCTCCACATGATCACAGCACCAAGGGCTGGGCCAGAAGGCAAGAAGCCTGGAACTCACTCTGGGTCTTCCATGTGGGTAGCAGGGACCCAAGTCCTCGAGCAGTCATTGTCTGTTGCCTGCCAAGATGCACATTTGCAGAAAGCTGAATCAGAAGCAGAGCCAGGAAGGGATGCCTAGAAATAGATGCCCAGATGGGATGCAGGTATCCCAAGTGCGCATCTTAACCACTGTGACAAATGTCTGTTCCCATCTTAACTTTAAAGTGGATGCTTGCTAAGTGCATGTTATTTGGCTTTAGATAATAAAAGTGTGTATGACACAGCTTGTGCTCTAAAGAAACGTCCATTTAAAAAAAAGATTTGTTTATTTTTATTGGAAAGGCAGCTTTACAGAGAGAAGGAGAGACAGAGAGAAAGATCTTCTGTCTGCTGGTTCACTACCCAAGTGATCACAATGGCTAGAGAAACTCATCCAGGTGCTTGGGCACCTGCTGCCCATGTGCGGACTCATGGCTCCGGAGTGGCCTGGCTACTTTGGGAGTGAATTAGCAGGTCAACCTCACTCTCTGTCACTCTGTCTTTCAACTAACTAGATAAATAAGTAAATCAGTAATTTTAAAGAGACTTGCTTATTTGAAAGGCAAAGTGAGAGGGAAAGAAGGACAAGATTCCAAACTCTGGTTCACTCCTCAAATGGCTGCAGTGGCTAGATCTGGGCCAGGCTAAAGCCAGAAGCCCTAGAAGTTCCCATGCGGGTTTCCCATGTGAGTAAAAGGACTCAAGGTCTTGAATTCTGCCACTGTCTCAGGTACATCAGCGGGGAGCTGGATGGGAATTAGAGCAACCAGGACTCAAACCGATGCCCACATGAGATGCTGTGTTTTATGCAGCAGTTTAACCTACTCTGCCACAATGCTGGCCCTTCCATACAGTCCATTTTAACGTATTAACAATACATAGAATTAATGTGTTGACCTGACTTTCAGGGCATCTGTGGAAACACAGATTGCCTGAAATACTTTTATCTTTGAAAAAGGACATTTCTGCAAAATAGCAAGGCTAATACTCTTGGCTCCGGGCTTTGGATTGGCTCAGTGCTGGCTGTTGCGTCCACTTGGGGAGTGAACCAGAGGATGGAGGATCTTTCTGTCTCTCTTCTGTGTAAATCTGATTTTCCAATAAAGATAAATAATTTAAAAAAAAAAAACACTTTTTTCTAAAAAGAAAGAAAGCTGGAAAACGAGAGGTAAAGTCTTTTAAAAATATATATAACACACATATACATTGTATATACGTATGTATGTATATGCATACACACATACATAAACACACATACACAAATGTATTTTATTTGAAAGGCAGATAGGGAAAAAGACCAAGAAATTTTCACTCCCCAAATGCCTGTAGCAGTCAGCTGAGCTAAGGCAAAGTCAAGAGACCAGAACTCAGTCTGTGGCTGCCATGTGGATGGTGTGGATCCAAGCACTTGATCCATCACCTGCTACCTCCCAGGGTGTGTATAACAGGAGGCTGGATTAGTAGTAGTGTAAGGTGTGAATCAAAACAGTCACTCTGATAGGGTATCTAAGAATCTCAAGGAGTGTCTTAGCCACTGTGCCAAATGACTGCTCTGTGGAGAGGTGAAGTCTGTAAAACTGTTTTGTAGAGTTTGAATTATTGTCTTGATAGTATTGAAGAGTCGTTGGTGTTTAGAAAGTTCATGGAGCCAGAGCTTGGCACAGCAAGTAAAGTCTCCAACTGTAGTACCTCCGGCATCCCATACGCTGGTGCTGGTTCAAGTCCTGGCTGCTCTCAGTTCCAATGCAGCTTCCTGCTAATGCATCTTGGGAAAGCAGTGGAGGATGGTCCAAGTGCTTGGGCCCCTAAGCCAATGTGGAGACCAGGAAGAAATTCCTGGCTCCTGGCTGCAGACCAGCCCAATTCCAGCCTTTGTGGTCATTTGGAGAATGTAACAGCAGATTGAAGATCCCTCTTTGTCTCTCCCTTTCTCTCTTTCAAATAAGCAAAATAAATATTTTTTTATTTTATAGAAATAGGAAGGAAGGATGATAGATACATCATTATGGGTACAGTAGAGAGACATAACTTGAAGCAGACAAAACCAAAGCAGATGAATCGGGAAATTGTTGCAATAATTCAAAGTAGATAGAAATGTTAGTGGTCTGAACTAAGGAAATGACTGGATAAGGAGAAGTGAATGTGCTTGCAAAACATTTAGGAAGTAAAATCAAATGGATGTGGAGATTGGGCCTGGCCACTGTGGGGTAGGAGGAGGCAAGGATGGTGCCTGGATTTCAGTTTTGGTTGTAGATATTTGCAAAAAATAGTTAATACACCAGACTCAAGACTGTCACCTTTAGAAAGGACTGCATATGAATTTGGCACTTGGGTGACAACAGGGAACTTACTGCAAACTCTCTACATTGATATAGGAATTTTTTAAATGTTCATAGAAAAATGCATATTGTAAAAAGCTATGCATGGAATGAAAAAATCTTTTTGCACCAAAATAAACATTTGCTTGCCTGCCTTCTTTCCTTCTCTCATTTCTTTGTTCCTTCTTTCCTCCTCTCTCTCTTTCTGCCTTTACCTTGTCCCAAGTTAATTTGTGGACAATGTAGGAGGACACTGGCCTCATGCAGACAGCAGCAGCACAGGAGACACACAACAATTATGTCCTCTCGTTGGCAGTCAGAGGCTGTTACTGTGGAATCTTTAAGGAGGCCAGGGAGAGAGAAAGCAGACAGAGAGATCCTCCATCTGCTGGTTCATTCCCCAAATAGCCACAACAGGCAGAACTCAACTGATCTGAAGCCAGGAGCCTCCTCTAGGTCTCCTATGTGGGTGCAGGATCCCAAGGCCTGTGCTTTCCTAGGCTATCAGCTGGGAACCAGATTGAAGGTGGAGCAGCCAGGACTGAAACTGGCACCAATGTGAGATGCCAGCACTGCAGACAAAGGATTAGCTTCGTCTGTTCCTACCAAATTCAAATTCATCATCACCCCAAATAACCCCCCCCTTTTTTTTTTTTTTTTACGAAAAGATTATTTATTTTTATTTATTTGAAAGACGGAAACGAAGATCTTCTGTCTGTTGGCTCACTTCCCAAATGGCTGCAATGGCTGGGCCTAGGCCAAGCTGAAGCTAGGAGCCAGGAACTTCTTCCAAGTCTCCCATGTAGGTGCAGGGGCCCAAGAACTTGGGTTGTCCTCGATTGCTTTCCCAGGTACATTAACAGGGAGCTACACTGGAAGTGGAGTAACTAGGACATGAATTGGTAACAAGATGGGAAGCTTCTGTTGTAGGCAGTGGCATTATTCACTACATGAGAATGCTAGTCTTCCAAAAACTTTGCAAAGCAGAGTGACAAGAGAGGATGAAACACACACGCACACACATCCTATATTCACTGGTTGACTCTCCAATGCTCATATGTAACAGCAGGTACTGGGTCAAGCCAAATCCAGGAGCCGGTAACTCTGTCTAGATCTCCCATGTGTGGTGGCAGAGTTCCAGAAGAAGCTCCTGGTTCCTGACTTCGGATCAGCTCAGCTCTGGCCATTGCAGCTGCTTGGGGAGTGAAATAGCGGATGAAAGATGTTTCTCTTTGTTTCTCCCTTTCTCTGTATATCTGCTTTTCCGATAAAAATAATAAACAAATCTTTTTAAAAATGAAACAAAATTTTAAAAAAATGAAACAAAATGTCAAAGTCAATCAGCTCACCCATATTGAATGTTGATGTTAGATGTGGTAACGTAGCCTACTGTACCACAAACAAGCCCTCAAACTGGATTTAGTCACAAAGAGGTTATTGGTGACCTTAGCAAGACCAGTTTCTATGGAATGGTGAGGCATAGAATTCCTTGCAGGGAGTGAGAAAAGAATGGTAAGAAGGTCCAGACTTACCCATAGGAAGGTAAGTTTGCAGTATAGTTTTATTCAATGTTTAGTAAGCTAGCAAAAAGCAGGAAGGGGGAGTAATCCGTAGAGATAACTAGAAGCCATGATTTGCTAAAAGGAAGAATGTATGGTTTGAAGAAACTGCAGGTGGCATCTGAACTAAAAACGTTAATTTATAGGTGGAGGAATTCAGTGTAGCAAGAAGACATTACTTTGGCCGGTGGCTCTGCAAAGTTAACTTGTGATGTTCATACCAGAAAGATACAATTTTGATATCAAGGAATTTTTAAAAAGATTTATTTTTACTGGAAAATCAGATTTACAGAGAGGAGAGACAGAGAGAAAGATCTTCCATCCGCTGATTCACTCCCCAAGGGGCCACAATATCCAGAGCTGAGCCGATCTGAAGCCAAGAGCCAGGAGCTTCTTCCGGGTCTCCCACGAGGGTGTGGGGTCCTGAGGCTTTGGACCATTCTCTACTGCTTTCTCAGGCCATAAGCAGAGAACTGGATGGGAAGTGGAACAGCCAGGACACAACTGGTGCCCATATGGATCCCAGTGCATACAGGGTGAGACTTCAGCCATTAGGCTACTGTGGTAGGCCTGATTTCAAGGACTTTTAGCTGTAATTCCTGTGTTGAATCCTGATATCTAGTCAGAGAGCTGTGTGGGTTATCAGGATTCTTTTTTTCCGTAAGATTAGTTTATTTTTGCTTGAAAGGGAAAAATAGAGGTGAAGGGGAGAGATCTTTCATTTGCTGATTTACTCCCTAAATTTCCACAGTAGCTGGGCTGGGTCAGGCAGAAGCCAGGAGCCAGGAACTCCATCCAGGTCTCTCACATGGGAGGCAGGAACCCAAGTACTTAGGCTGTCATCTGCCTTTCCAGGTGCATTGACAGGGAACTGGATTGGAAGCAGAGCAGTCAGGACTGAAACCTTATTCATATTGGATGCTGGCATGGCAGGCATTGGCTTTTCCCATTGTGTCCCCAATACTGACCTCATTTAAGGAGCTTTTATAATGATCCCACATTTAGGTTATAGTAAATGACATTTAATTTTCATTTTCAACAGTACTAGATTGGCTTCACTTTTTGGACTGGACCAAGCAGCTACTGGCCATAGCAATGAATTCTTCCAGTACACAGCCCCGAAACAGCCTAAGAAAGGCCAAGGAACAACAACAACAGCAACAACATCAGGTAAGTTTAAGAGGCATTAGGACTGTGCCTTAACAGTTTAATTTGGCAGGTGAGCATCCTTCCAAAAGTGACTTGCCCAGTCATCCAACTTTGGTCAGTCTGGCCGAGTTCACTGATAGTGGAGGATGCCTCTCTAGGCTCTGCAGTGCTGAATTTTAGCAGCTAAGTAGTATTGGGGACAATGGAAAAGGTAGCAGGCAAACTCTGTGTACACTGTGAGCATTGCCATCCAAGGCGCTCTTAACTAGGCATTGTCAGATGTTTGAGAAAAAAAAAGGAGAATACTTTCGCTTCTTATACCTTATTGACCTAACTGTATACCAGGTGAGTTTTCCCCAGTGAGACCTTGACACATTTCTGTAAGCCTGTACCTTTATTGTGGTGAACATAGGATTCGTTGACTGAGTGAACGTTTGTTAAATGAAAGGAGAAAAATGGAAGCTAGTATTCTGAAATGCCTGTTGCTGTGTGTCTAGTCTCAGGTGCTTTCTATAGGCTCTCTTGCTCTATCCTCGCAGCAATTCTGTGAAATAGGTGGAGCAACCAGCACCATTTTATAGGCCCAGAGGATTTTAGAGGCTTGATCCAAATCATCCAGTGGAGACAGAACTTGACCTGTATTCTAATCTAATTCCAAATCTTTTATTGCCTCTACATTTTGCTCTTTGTGTGAGAACCCACATAGGAATGAAAGACTGATAGTAATAACTCTGGGAAAAACAGCTGACTGGGCACATTGCACTCACATTTGCATTTGTGAAAATCGAAATATTTAGTGCCTTTTACATGCTAGGCACTGTGTTGGCACTGAGGAATTGTCAGGATATTTAGAGTTGAGTCATTCTAACAGATACCGTATAGGCCCACACAAGAGGGAAAAACAGCCATTTCCTTACTGTCTGTTTACTTTCTACATACTTCTGTGTCCCTAGATGAGAGTGAGGTTTTTCCAACACACTCAGCAATTCTCCAGCACAGGCCAGCCAGGCTGGTCTATAATTCAATTAAATTCTGCTACTGTCTACCTGGATATAGTGTTAGATCTCACAGTGAGGTAGGTCCCTCAATCAACAAGTTTTACCCTAGTTCAAGTCTTTACTACCTTGGCTTCTGAATTACTGGCTATACACATGGGTCCTACAGTTCCTTCCCTGATAGGATGGCTCCCAGAACTCAGAGAAACATTTCTTATGTTTGATTTTCTCTTACAAAGATGCAGATGAGCAGCCAGATGCAGAGATAGTGTAGGGCAGGGTTTGGGGAAAGAATGCATGGAGCTTCCATTTTGGGGGTGCTGCATTCTGCCAGCACCAGCCCATGTTCAACAGTGCAGAAGCTTATCAAGCTTTGTGGTAGAAGAGTTTTTACTGAGCTTGATTTCCAGCCCTCAGCTCCCTTTCCTGGAAGCGGGGGTTTGGTGGGGGGAGGTGGTTGAGTGGAAAGTGCCAACCCCTTTGAATCCTGTTTTGGCTTGGTCTTCTGAGTGACTGCCTCCCAGCCTGAGGCTTTTCAGGGGCCCCACCCTAAGTCGCCAAATTAGAGCAAATTTAATTTTAAGACATGATTTGCAGGGGTTGGGAAACACCTCCTTCTATAAAGTAGAATGTTCCAAGGAGTTGAACAGAAGCAGGCTGACTTTATAGACAGTAAAAGGATGAAAAAAACAGAAACAAGAGAAAGTGGCTTGGTTGTTTGAGAATTAGTCTCATTGACAAAGAAGGGGCTTCCTTAGTATGTTGACACGAGGCTGGTTTGCTTGGGGTTGCAAGTGCATTTTCATTTTCTTTAGGCTTTTCTGTATTTTCTACGTTTTCTACAATGCTCTTAAAAGCCAGAAAAAAAAAAGTCCATATCAAAAAACTCTGAAAAGGATGCTTCTGAAAATAAGTTCTTGATTTTTATGTGTATGTTAATATTATCTGTTATTCTTCCATGAGGGCATTCCTTCAAAGGAAATATGCATCTTATTTGCTGTTTTAAAACATTAATATTACTCTACAGATATGCGAAGTCATCCTAATTAGTATCTGCAATCCTAAATTTCCTACCCTCGAAAGTAAAAAAAGCGCAAGAGCTTTATTCTCATTTATCATAGTGATCAAAACATTAGAAAGGAGAAGATAGATGCGCTGTGACCTTGCTGTTTAGATAATGTGTCTTGTCCAGCCTAAAGTCTTAGTTTGAGGAGTATGATTGGAAGTTGAAATTATGAGTTCTAGTAATGAGTAGCTTGCTACTGTCAATGTGTAAGGCACCTGGCTTAAAGCCTGTTCCCTCACCCCCACATTAGATCATAGCAATTCAGTTTTTGCAACATTAATGACAGGGTATAAAAAAGAATTTTGAAGCTACTTTAATTGTTAAAAATCAGTTTCAAGCAAGAAATGCATGATACTTTTATTTTTTTCTTCCTCTTCAGGAAATCAGGCACCACCCAAAGCAGCCCCAACCGCCACTGGCACTTCCACAGTTCTGGGTGCAACAGCAGTGCATGCCTACCGATAGTAAGTGGCTAACAGGGAGTGCCTTCTCAAGATTTTTAGAGGGGAGAGAGGCTGAACTCATACCTTTTCTCAAAAAACAAAAAACCTCTGTATGTTGAAGAATGCTTACTTACCTATTTCACAGGGAAAGTATTTTAATTTTTCAATCTGAGATTTCTGCACATAAAACTTGAAGAGCTGTTATCTGTTGTCTGTAAGAAACATGTGTGTGCCTTTAACAACTCTCTTTTTAGGTTCTCAAAACCACTGCATACAAGTAAGGTATCTAAAAAGTAAAGAAGTAGAAGAGTTTAAATTATAAACTGTTCACCTCTGTTCCTTTCTGAAGGCTGAATAAATTTGTCCCTTCTTTGTGCCCAAAAGGAAAGCTGACTCTGTGGAGCCTATGAGAGTATTAATACCTATTGTTTTTCTTACGTCCATAGCACTAATGGTCAGTATGTAAAGCAGGGGAAATTTGGTGCTGCAGTCCTGGCAAACCACGCGGCCAAAGAGGTAAGCATGCTTTCTTCGCTCATGCTTATTCAGGTGACCCAAAGATTGCCGTGGAGCTGTTTTTGTTTCTTTGTTTTTTATCTGGGTTTGCCCTGTGTCTCTTGTATTGGAGGATTAGGACTATTATTGAATGTGATTTTGTAAATGAATGTGCATATAGTAAATGATCACATGAGTGCTGTAGTGCATGGAAATAATCCAACTACTCAAAATTTTTAAATTTGGCTTCTGTAATATCTTTAAAATTTGTAGTTTTAGAGTAAACCATTCATTAAGAATGTCCTTTTTTCAGGTAGTTAATGAACAGAATGTATTGTGCTACTCAGCATTATCTCTTTTAGCTTCACTAATATCCAAAGTCTATCCTTTAAAAGTTTGTTAAGTTTGAGCAGATGATCACGCTGTAGTATTGATTTGGCTCAAAAAACGAGTTGTGATTAAAGACCCTGAAATTAATTTCTTTCTGTGGATTGTATTTAGCTTCAACTACATAGAAGTTTGGAGAATTGTTGAAATAAGCATAAGAAATTTTAGAATTACAGAGGATCCAGAGTCCTAGAGACTCCAAAGCAAGTAAGATTAACTTTCCAAAGTAACTAGTATAATGGGCAAGATTCATTGCCCATAATAAATAATAAATATACAAATTATATAATATATTCAATGATATAATAAATGTACCACATATAAAATATGTTATGTTGTTATATGTTAACTATATATTAACATAAGTATAATGAAGCAGTAAATAATTCATTAAAAAAGTGAAACACAGGTAAGAAAAGTTGGACCTAAATATTGAGTCCTGAGCTACCCAATAATAGGATCCAAAAGTTATCAGTTTTATTTACAAATTTGCCTTCTTTTTCTTTTATCACTCAGATTACAATGAACAAATCTATTCTATATACTATTTTAATTATAAGCATTAGTATGTTTCTGTAATTTTTAAAAAAAGTTTATTTTATTTGAGTTGCAGGATTACAGAGAGAGGAGAGACAGAGATCTTCCATCCGCTGCTCTACTCCCCAAATGGCTACAATGGCCAGTGCTAGGCAGGTCCGAAGCCAGGATCCAGGAGTTTACTCTGGGTCTCCCATGTGGGTGCAGGGACCCAAGAACTTTAGCCATCCTCTGCTGCTGTTCATGACCATTAACAGGGAGCTGGATTGGAAATGGAGCAGTCAGAAATCAAACTGGTATATGTGTGGGGTGCTAGCACTGCAGGTAGAAACTCAGCTTGCTATTCCACAATGCTGACTCCCAAGTAATTTTTAAAAATAAAACTATTATGCCATTATCACACACAAACAACTCCTTGGTTTTATTTACTACCAGTTAGTGTTCAACTATCCTGGTTACTGTGTATTTCTCTCTCTTTTCTTTCTTTCTTTTTTTTTTACAAATTGTAGATGCAATTATGGTTGGTTTCTGTGCCTCATTATCCATCAGGAGGCAAGCAACATAATTGTCTCTCATTTTACTAATAGCCATCTATGATTACTATCTAGATTGATTAATTCATTAGAGGTTGTCATTGGATTCTTAAAATCTGATATCAACAGACAGCTGGAATCAAAAGGGAAGGAACAGGAATTCAAATCAGGACTCTCATGTGGATGACGGGCATCCCAAGTGATGACTTACCCTCTGTACCCACTGGCCTCTCACAGTCTAGCTCCACTTGTAATTCTGGTTGTCTTACTGTTTCTACCACAGAGCTTCCTTCACTGAAAATTTTTTTTTAAGAATCATTTTATTTTATTGGAAAGACAATTTTACAGAGAGAAGGAAATAGAGAGGGACCTTCCATCTGTTGGTTCACTCTCCAAATGGCTGCAACTGTTGGAGCTGTGCTGCTTTGAAACCAGGAGCCATGAGCCTCTTCCAGGTCTCTCACATGGGTGCAGGAGCCCAGGAACTTGGACCATTCTCAGCTGCTTTCCCAGACCATAAACAGGGAGCTGGGTCAGAAGTGGAGCACTGGGACTAGAACCAGTGCCCTTTTGGGATGCCAGCACTTGTAGGCAGAGGACTAGCCTGTTGAGCCAACATACCAGCACCTTGTCACTGAAATCTTAAACCTTTAAAGTCATCCATGAGGATTGGAATCAGCTTCCAAACCACTGGTTTTATTGGTATTTTCACTTCTTGCTACAAAACATAAATGTTTAGTGGGGAATCTTTTGCAAAACATTTCCAGATCCATCAGAGAAATCATCTCTGGCAGCCAATATGTATCAGTCTAATGGGGGTGCAGTTTGAGGTGCGTCAAAACAGTAACATCAAAGATCATTGATCACAGGTTACCGTACAGGTAGCTAATAATGAGGAAGTGTTAAGAATTACCAAAATGCAATGTAATGTACTGCATTTTTCTCTTGGGAAATAAAGCAAACATACTTGCTCAACACATGCTTACAGAAACTGGGAGATTATCCACAGGGTGTGACATGAGGGAGCTTTTTGGGTGTTGGAAGTGCTCTATATGTTTTCCTCCTCAGTTTTCTTGGTGGTCACATGGGCATTAATGTGTGTAAAATTTCACTTACTACTTACACATTTAGGATTTGAATGAAGTTCTGTATATTCTCCCCCACTTATAAAAAAGTTATGTTTTCTTAAGTAAACAATCCCTGTCTTTTTTAGTCATCGCTCATATAAATCAAAGTACCAAAACAATCAAGACATTGTCAATTACTGTTACGAAGAAAGACCAGGTGTAGACATTTGGCCAAGTGGTCAGGCAGTTAAGATGCTGGCATTCTGTCTTGGAGCGTCTGGGTTTAATACCCAGCTCTGACTCCTGCCAATGCAGACCCGGAAAGCAGCAGGTGATGGTTCATGTGACTTTTTCCGGACACCCATGTAAGAGAACGGGGTGAAGTTCTGTTTGATTGTATCAGGAGGTAAACTATGATGGCAGTCCTCCCTCTCTGCCTGTGTGTGTGCACGTGTATGTATGGTGCTAGTGGTGGTGGTAGGGGTTTCTCTCTCTGCCCCTAAAATAAATTAGTTAAAAATTTTAAAAAGGTAAGAGAAAAACAAGGAGAGATGAAAACAGTGAGAAGGGATAATTTAAAGCATGAGCTGTAAGGGGTTGAATAGACTTACAGCTGTATAAAGCACAGCTTCTGTGACCTTTTGTTGATTTTGGATTGCATTTTAACTTCTGCTCTCTCTCTCTCTTTTGGCCATGCTTGTTTGAGTACAGTATAGGATTCTTCTTTACATCAGTCAGCAGCAGCCAGTCACTGTTGCCAGGATTCATCTGAATTTTGAACTAACGGTAAGACTTCCCCATAATTATAACCTGTAACTGCTCTGGTATAGATTCGCAGGAGAGATTGGTCTGAACATGTTTGATGCAAACTAGCCATTGCCTCAGTTTTGGGTGTCAGTATGAGTATCCGAAAGAGCTAGCTACTCAGAGTGGTCTCTTGTCCACCGTCTGGGAATGTGGAAGAAAGGCTGGTTGGTAGAGGCTGTTGGAAGGGAAGAAATGTCCTTGGAATGGCTCAGTCATGTCTGCTGTGCTACTTATGGTTGAATTTTCTGAACATTTTTCCTTTTCCCAGGTTCGGCCCAATAACTACAGCACCTTTTATGATGACCAGAGACAAAACTGGTCCATCAGGTTTGAGTCTGAAAAAGCTGCCGTGGAGTTCCTCAAACAGGTGACCCCATATCACATTTATTGTGTAACTATTCCAAGAGAAATGTTTGGATTTCCCTTAATTTCAGAAACACCCTGCTGTATTTGCTAGAGACTAGTATGAAAATAACTGTTACACTTGCCACTTGAGCCTGTTGTATGGGTTTTGGAAAATATGAGGATTTGTCAAAATACTCATGAAAAATTAATAACTAAAAAAATTTTAAGATGCATGTGTTTCTTTCATACATGCATTTCTATTTTTTTTACCAACATAAGCTCATATTTTTAATTTCCATATTCTATGAACTTTTTGAAATTCTGTATTTACTCATATTACTTAGAAATAGATATTTTTTAAGATTTTTTTTATTTTTACTGGAAAGTTAGATATACAGAGAGGAGGAGAGACAGAGAGGAAGATCTTCCATCTGATGATTCACTCCCAAGCGACCTCAACGGCTGGAGCTGAGTCGATCTGAAACTAAGAGCCAGAGTGTCTTATTGGTCTCCCATGCGGGTGTAGGATCCCAAGGCCTTGTGCATCCTCGACTGCTTTCCCAGGCCACAAGCAGGGAGCTGGATGGGAAGCAGGGCTGCTGGGATTAGAACCAGTGCCCATACAGGATCCTGGGCGAGGGCTTTAGCCACTAGGCTACCGTGCGGGCCTTTAAATTTTCTTTTTATTTGAAAGGTAGAGTTGCAGAGAGAAAGAGACAAAGAATGAGATCTTCCATCCACTAGTTTACTCCCTAAATAACCAGCACAGCCTGAACTGAGCCAATCCAAAGCCAGGATCCAGGAGCTTCTTCTGTGTCCCCCACATGGATGCAGGGGCCCAGTGACTTGAGCCAATCTCTGCTCCTCTCCCAGGCCATAAACAAGGAACTCCCAGACCAGAAATGGAGCAGCCTAGGACATGAGCCTGTACCCATTTGGGATGTCAGCACCCTGGGTAGAACCTTGGCTTTCTACTCCACAGCTCTGACCCCAAGAACAATGTATTAAAAGAATTTAAGTTACTAAATATTCATTGTAAGAAATTAAAAATTTTACAGGCATTCATAATCTTAATACCTGCAGCAACCACTAATAACATGTTGCCTTTTTTTTCTATGGTAGCACGTAGAAGTAGATGCTCTTTTAAGATTTTTGTATTTTACGTATTTTATTTAACAACGTGTGATGCATCTTTTTCACCTCAAGAAAAAATTACTTGAAAGTGCTTTTGAAAGCTGCACTATGCGGTTGTTGTTTGGTTTCTTTTTGTTTGGTTTATTTGAAAGGCAGAGTAACAGAGAGAAAGAGAAGGAGAGCCCCAGAGAACTTCCATTTGCTGATTTATTCTCCAGATAACCATAAAGGCCAGAGCTGGGCTGATCCAAAGGCAGGAGCTGCTTCTGGGTCTCCCATGTGGGTTCAGGAGCCTAAGTGCTTGGGCCATCCTCTGCTGCTTTCCCAGGTGCATTAGCAGGGAGCTGGATAAGAAGTGGAGCACCTGGGGCTCAAGCTAGTGCCCCAATACACAAAATAACATGAATCTTTCCAAACGTATTTGCTGAATAACATTCGGTATGCTTAGTGTTAGAACAATCTTGTCATTTAGACAAATCAGTGCTGGTGCCTAGGCATCTGAAGCTGGCTTGCTATTATTAGTTGGGGCTTGTCTTGGTGGGTTTCTTATTTTGCAGTTTTATACTGACAACATCAAAGATTTATTGTGATGAGCTGTGCATTAAACTATAAGTTTATGGGCCCGGCGCAGTGGCACAGTGGTTAAGGTCCTTGCCTTGCACGCCCCAGATCCCATATGGGCGCCGGTTCTAATCCCGGCGGCCCTGCTTCCCATCCAGCTCCCTGCCTGTGGCCCGGGAAGGCAGTCGAGGACAGCCCAAAGCCTTGGGACCCTGCACCCGCGTGGGAGACCCAGAAGAGGCTCCTGGCTTCCAATCGGCATAGTATCGGCCGTTGCGCTCACTTGGGGAGTGAATCATCGGACGGAAGATCTTCCTCTCTGTCTCTCCTCTCTGTATATCTGCCTTTCCAATAAAAATAAAATAAATTAAAAAAAAAAAAACTGTAAGTTTAGATCCCATCACTCTAGTTCAGTTGATGCTCACACAGAAAGAATGCCCTCTGTTAAGATGACAGTCTGTGATAGAAGTTTATTAGTTTGTGGGCTAGAAAAGAGGCAAAAGAATATGCCTGGTTTAGCTGTTTGTCTACTTAAAAGTTTTTATTAGTAATGAAATATGGTTCTAGGAATTACATAGGGAAAATTATGTTCTCTTTATGATATCCAACTATGTTTTTTCTGAAGTGGTATTTAATGTTCGTGTTAATTGTATCTAGGAGGTAGGAAATATGTACTAATTTTTTACTTCTTTGCCTTTCAGTACTATTTATTTGTAATAAGCACATATCATTTTCACATAACTTGTATAAGATAAACTATATTAACAATATAAAAAATTATTATATCATTTGATTAGAAGAGCCTATTCTACCCCTAATTTTATACTTTCTTATTTTACTTAGTGATTGTAAATTTACGGAAAAAGAATGTATTTTATTATGTTAAAGTCTTACAATACTAAATTACTTTAATAAATAATTTGTTTTCCTTACCTAAAATGTAAATTTCCAGTACATAAAGTATAAATAATAGTCCAAGTGTGGAAGCTCCAGTGTTTCACTTATGGAAGAGGTATAATATGGTGGTAAGGGTTTTGTTTGTCTTAATATAAAGCACTCTACAACATGAATCAGATCATTATTATTTAAAGCTCTACTCATTCAGTTTCTGTATTTGAGTAGAAGCTCATTAATTTCTGCAGGTTTTGGCTGTGAGACCTGGGAGAGCTTGAATATCTAGAAGTTGTTTGAAACTTTCAAGACTCGTGTGGTTGTTCATTTGATGGTATCCCATAAATCTCTAACACTGTTTTTGGTTTTTCTATTTTCTTCTTTCTTCCTTCTTCCTTTTTTGCTTATTTTTTTTATCTTCAGAAATTTGCCTTTTAGCATAGATATCTTTCTTTTGTCTCACCAAGTGTTTTGTTAAGGCTTTCTGTTTTCTTATTTGACATACTGAATCCTTCACTTCTAATATCAGTTTAATTTCTAATTTCTATTCACTACCTTTATCTTGCAGCAGACCTTTTCAATCATGTCCTGATAATCTTGTGATTATAAAGTAAGGTCAGAGCATGTCATTATTAAAATTAAACAAAAAATAGGGCCCGGCGGCGTAGCCTAGCGGCTTAAGTCCTCGCCTTGAACACGCCAGGATCCCATATGGGCGCCGGTTCTATCCCGGCAGCTCCAGTTCCCATCCAGCTCCCTGCTTGTGGCCTGGGAAAGCAGTCGATGATGGCCCAAAGCCTTGGGACCCTGCACCCTTGTGGCATACCTGGAAGAAGTTCCTGGTTCCCGGCTCCAGATTGGCATAGCACCAGCCGTTGCGCTCACTTGGGGAGTGAATCATCGGACGGAAGATCTTCCTCTCTCTCTCCTCCTCTCTGTCTATCTGACTTTCCAATAAATAAATGAAAAATAAATAAACAAAAAATAAGGGAAGGATGAAGGAGGATAGGGTGGAAAGTGTTATTATGCCTTTAAAACGGTATATGTAATGAATCAGAGCCATGACATATCAAATGAAGTCTCTGTTCAGGGTGCCAGCATCATAGGGATATGGGTTCATTTCCCAGCTGCTCTGCCTTTGCTCTAGCTTTCAGCTTATGGCCTGGGAAGACCGTGGAGGATGGCCCTGGGCCCTGGGCCCTGGGCCCTGCACACATGTGGAAGATCTAGAGAAAGCTCCTGGCTCCTGGTTTCAGATGGGCTCGGCTCCATCCATTATGCACATTTGGATGGAAGATTTTTTCTTTTTTTTTTTTTCCTCTCTGTAACTCTGCCTTTCAAATAAAAATAAATACATTAAATAAAATTAAATCTTAAAAAATGTATAAGAAATATGTGAAATTTATTCCATTAAATTAAATAAAGATTATGTATATATTTTAAAAAGTCATTTAGCTACAAAAAGTGTTTTCTAAGGACTTAGAGCCTGTCATTCATCACTTTGTGCATTCCTCAGTTGAACTGCTTTCCTGCAGTCCACAGAAAAAGTGCAAGATCTGGGCTCTGGAAAGGAATTCCTTCAGATGCCTGCGGGCCTTCTGCCTGCCTGCCTGCCTGCCTGCGTGCCTGTTGAGGCTCTCAGATGCCTGGAAGACCTCAGGCCTCTGCATCCACCTCCACCCTGAGTTGCTCCACCTGCACCAAGGGGGCGATCACATTGGAATCTGGGGAAGCTGGAATCTGAGCTGGGCAGGACTAGGCTGCAAGTGCCACCCCCCCTTCCATAGTTGTCTCATAATACACATTTTTTAGTGTGTTTTAAAGACATGTCCTACACATGAGTTTCAGAATAGTTTTATACCAAATTAGGCATTTTTAATTTCGATTTTCATGAACTCTTATAGGTATTCTTGTGTAAGTATGTGTTCTTTTTTTCCTACAAAATCCTTGCTTATTATTTCTAGAAGTGAATGATTCACTCAAAGAGTCAAGAGATTATTTAAAAGTTTGAACACTTCGGCACACTGCTTTTCAGAAAGGCTATACTATTTCATATATAGTCTCTCACCAAGTCTTTGCTGGCATTTAGAACAATTCGTTTTTTTTCTTCTGGTCTTGCTTGCTAAGAAGCAATGTCTTGTTTTAGCTAGCATTTGTTTGATTACAAAAATGAAAATTTTTAAAAAAGTAGCAAATTTCTATATATACTATATTAAAACCCTGAGTTCAGAATAATTGCTCATGAAGATCTGTCTGATGGGCCCTAGCACGGTAGCCTAGTGGCTAATGTCCTTGCCTGTGCCGGTTCGTATTCCAGCTGCTCCACTTCCCATCCAGCTCTCTGCTTGTGGCCTTGGAAAGCAGTTGAGGATGGTCCAAAGCTTTGGGACCCTACTCCCATGTGGGAGACCTGGAAGACGCTCCTGGCTCTTGGCTTCAGGTCGGCTCAGCTGTGGCCGTTGCAGACACTTGGGGAGTGAGCCAGTGGATGAAGATTCTTTTTTCTGTCTCTCCTCCCTGTAATTCTGACTTTCCAATGAATAAATAAATGAATCCTTAAAAACAAGAGATCTGTCTGACCTTGTTGAGGATTTTTGTTAAGGTAATATGACCAAACATAGGTGGTGGTAATGTGAGTTCTGGGACTGCAACAGGGTACTGTTTTTAGAAGTGCCTTTTGGCATTTTGAGAAGCTCCATTTTATTTCATAGGTTTCCAAATGCTGGAACAGTAAATCAATATAGTAATCATAACTAATGTTTATTGAATATTTACTGTTATTTCACAACTTTGTTGCCAAGTGCCATACTTGTATAAACTCATTTGATTTTCCTAAGCACTCTTTAAGATGTGAAAAGCTGATGTTTTGCTAATGGATTTAACAGTTTGAGAATTATAGCAGTTATTAACAGTAATAGAATGAGAATGATTTATTCTGATGGGGTGTTTTGTCTTACAGGTGTGCATTGCCAAGTGTAACAGCACCTCTTCCTTGGATTCAGTGTTGTCACAGGACCTAGTCGTGGCGGAAGGCCCTGCCATAGAAATTGGAGATTCTTTGGAAGTGGCCTACACTGGCTGGTTCTTTCAAAATCATGTGTTGGGCCAGGTAAGAAAATGTACCCTATAATTCCTTTTGAAATTAAAATGCTGTGAAGGATATTGACATGGAAGGCACTACTGCATATTACTGCTGTTGTAAAGTAGAAATCTTTCAGGAGCCCTGCTTGAGTCTCTTCAGCTGCTCTTGGGGCTTCCCTGTGAAATATTAATGTGTAAAATTGGCTCACTGCACTGCATCTCTTCTGCTTAGGTAAAAGTAGAAATCTATTTTCAAGTATTATTTTTGCTAACTTCATCTGTATATCTTGTTATTTATATGTTTTGAATTTGAATATATTCTTAGTGGATTGAATTTTTCAACTTCTTTGTAGGCAATCATCATAGATCCTATTATGGTAGATACTGTCAATATGCTGGGCAGGTTATATTTTAATACTATTAAACCATCAAAAGCAATATTAAATGATAGATTTTTAGAAGTTTAAATTTTCTACTTTAATTTTGATTAAGTCATTTAAGGTTGTAGGTTTTTGTTTTTTTTCTTATTTATGAGTGAGAGTTAATGATCCTTGCTCTGTTTACCAGCCAAGCTGTTTTTAGTGCCAAATGAGTTAATTTTTGAAAAAATTTTATAGGTGAAAAATGCTTAAATACACTTAAATTTTTTTTTAATTTTTAAGTAAAAATTTAAATTTTTAAATAAAAATGAAAGTGTATTTTATTTTTATCAGAAAAGCAAATGTACAGAGAGGAGGAGAGACAAAAAGGAAGATCTTTCATCCGATGATTCACTCCCCAAACTGCTGCAGTGGATGGAGCTGCACCAATTCAAAGCTAGGAACCTGGAGCCTCTTCTGGGTCTCCAGCATGGGTGCAGGGTTCCAAGTCTTTGGGCCATCCTTGAGTGCCTTCCCAGGCCACAAGCAGGAAGCTGGATGGGAAGCAGGGCTGCCGGGATTAAAACCAGCGCCCATATGAGATTCCAGCAGATACAAGGAGAGAATTTAGCCACTAAGCTATCATGCTGGGCCCTGTTTTTTCTTTTTAAATTGGCTGACCTTATTTACTTTGATGAAATTGCAGGTTTTTGACTCTACTGCTAACAAAGAGAAGCTGCTTCGATTAAAATTAGGATCAGGAAAAGTCATCAAGGTAAAACTCAACTGCTTTTGTACAGTTTTGTATCGGTTGAAATGGACTTAATTTGGAACAAAATTTGTGGCATTTTTAGCCTTTATATATATTGTCTAAGCATCTGGACATGACTGGTTGACAACATGGAGGGGTCAGTATGTTGCATTATCTATGCTCTGAGATTATTACCTATGAGACAGTGCCATGAAGGTGGGTACCTTTGCTTTCTGTAGTTCCCTCCGTTTACTCTTCATTATGTGACTCTGAGGATATTATTACATCCTTCCGTTAGCCTGACAGGGAAGGACATAAAGCTGTTGCATCTAGATGTAGGTCTAATTGGTTAATTCTTATCTGGGTGGCTTTGAATCAGCACTTCCCAGTCACCATAGAAGACAACTGTGACATAGCAAGAGAAGCATTGTAACTGGAATCTGAAGACTTTAACTCAAAGATACAGATTGTTTTTGTACCAACTGTGTAAGTTTTATAAAGGGTATTTTATACATGTTGGTAATCATGGTGTCAGGAAGTGTTGATGCTTTGTGCTGTACTCACTCATCTGTGTGGCTTAAAGGGTTTCTTCATTGCTTTGTTTATGATTGCTCTTCCCCAAATCCCTTGGAGGCCTTAGCAGTGAAGGCATGACCCTTGAGGTTAGATCTAGTGTTGACTCTTAGCACAGCCACCTACATTATGATCTTGGGCAACTTACATAACCTCCACATGCCTTAGTTTTGTCATTTGTAAAATGAAAATAATGCTATCAGTTTTATGAGGTATTTAGGAGAATTAATTAGATGGTGCATGTGAAGCACTTCACATAGGAAAATGTGCCCGGTAAATGATAAATGAATGATAGCTTTTGTTTCTATCTAATGAGAAATTTTTTGTTTTCCAGCTTTTTTAAAACAGAAATTAATTTTATTGATGTTTACAAAGTCCATCAGGGTGGGAAGGATTGAGAGTTAAGGAAAAGTGGGTGTGCTCATTGTTTCCAAATTTTCTATTTCTTCTTCCTGTTTCTGGGGGAAATGAGGAGATTGGGAAAGAGCCATACCCAGTCTTCCAACCATTCCAGTCCCCTGGAATGGGAACGGTCACCCAATATCAACCCAGGGGCTCGATGTGGCACACCCTCCAAAGGTTCTGCCCAGGTGGTTTTGATAGTTCTGAAATGCTCTCCCTCTCCCTGATCCAAGGATGAGGAATCTCTTCCAATGTTCGTTGGTGACATAGTTAACCTTACAGTCTCCATTCGACCAGATTTTTGCTGTTATAGTTTGACTGGGGTCTGCTATGATAACAGATGTCCTCTGCAGGACCCAGTGGGCTGCCGTATCTTCCGTGTGCATCAGAATTTGCCATCCACTGCTCCATCTTTTCCACTGGGGAGGATCAGTTTTCACAGGTGAACACAAGCACCCGGGCCCCACTGGACCTCTGCCTCCGGGGCTCACAGACCTGGCACCTACTGTGCAGGCAGGCCCAATATTTTCCCATTTTCTCTCCTCATCATTTAAGATTAAAGGAGAAGTATTTTTCATCTAACCTCAAATATGCTGGTTTTTGCAGGCAGGTTAGAAGTTGTGTTCTCCATCGTCTGCTAACATTGTGGAATAATAGTTGAGCTTGACCTGTAGAGTCTCTATCTAAACCTGAAAGTGTGGATAAATGAAACTGTGTGCCACTGTACTTCACTCTGGCCTATTAGGTTCTTCTTGCATAATGAGCTTTTGCCCATCTGTTTCCTGAAGGGCTGGGAAGATGGAATGCTGGGCATGACCAAGGGAGGCAAGCGATTGCTTTTCATTCCTCCAGCTTGTGCAGCTGGCTCTGAAGGGATGATAGGCTGGACTCAGTCAACGGACATCCTCGTGTTCGAGGTGGAAGTCAAACGGGTGAGTCTTCTGAGTTAAAGAAAATGAATAAATAGAAATTATGTTTGTCAACCAGATTTTGAAGATACAGATTTCTTAAAGTAGAAATTGTACAGTCAGAAAGAGCAGCAATTTTGGAATCTGAAGATCAAGGTTTATGTTCTTCCTGGCTCTCTATTGAGACTCTAAAAAGCATTGTGACTTCGAGCAAATCACTCCTCCACACTGAGCTTCTGATTATGTGTATAAATAGTGGTTCCCACCCATTGTATATACCTTTTGATGCATTGATTCCATGATTGCAGATTTGTCCTATGTGTATTTTATATGATTATTCAAAGATGCAATATACACATATAAAGGCATATTAAAGAATTCATGCAAACATGAATTAAAAGACAAATTTCTTTTGGTGCCAAATGTTTTTTCCTTTGGTGCCAAATTTTTTTTTTAAATCCGAGCATGCTAGGATATCTGTGGGTAGGTATGTTTTCCTTCCTCTCTCACGTTATTTGTAATAACCAGAAAAACTGTCCATTGTTCAGAGACTGATTAAATTCTGGTATTTTTATAGAGTGGGTTTTTTTTATAGATCTTGAAAAATGCCTAAACTCTATTGTTAAAGAAGCAGTGGCAGAACATTATGTATTGTATGTTCTCATTCGTGTGCCTGTGTACATGAATAGTCATATAAGCATATATGTACACATGTGTGTATATATGTATGTATATATGTGTGTGTGTGCACACACATGTGTCTGTATATTCATAGAACATTTCTGAAGGCTTTAAATGAAATGACTGGAGGGGTGTTGTAGGATATTGAGGTTAAGCTGAAGTCCTTTCTGTTCCACTTCTGATTCAGCACCTTAATAATGTGCCTGGGAAAGCAGCAGAAGATGGCCTAAGTACTTGGGGCCTTGCCACCCACATGTGAGAGCAGAACTCCTGGCTCCTGACTCTTGTTTCAGCCCAGCCCATGCCATGTGGAGTATCTCTATTTTCCTCTCTCTGTAACTCTGCCTTTGAAATTAAAGAAATGAATAAACAAATAACTAAATAAATAAATAAAGGAAAGGTATGGCTAGAAATGGCTTTCTCTGCAGTTCAGAGCCTTTTATATCCTCCTCTTTTTAATTCCCTTTGTGCTATCTAAAATTTTATCATGGGTATATGTATTTCTGTAATATAATAATAGTGACTTACAGAAATTGAATTAATACTACTCCCTTACCCCATGATTTTCTATTACAACTTCATTTTTAGGTTCAACTGTGATGCCATTTGTTACTGTAAGTGATAAAACACGTGCAAAGAATGAACATTTGGTGATAGTCATTTTTGTTTTAGCTATTCTTCCTACAAAAAAAGAAGGAGTATGTTTTCCTACTCAGTGACTCTCCTAATTGAACACTTTTTAAAAAAGATTTATTTATTTATTTGAAAGGCAGAGTTAGAGTGAAATAGAGAGCTCTTTCATCTGCTGGTTCACTTGGGCCATTCAGAAACCAGGAGACAGGAGTATTGTCTGGGTCTCCCACATGGGTACAAGGGCCCAAGTACTTCTTGAGTGCATTAGCAAAGACCTCGATTAGAAATGGAGCAGCTGAGACTTGAACCAGCACACCTATGGATGCCAGTGTCACAGGCGGCAGATTTATCCATTATACCACTGCTCTAGCCCCGCCCCAGAAGACACTCTGCTTAGTTGGACTGACCTAGTCCAGCTTGCTGTTTTCTTCCTCCTTCCCTCCCTCCCTTCCATCCTCCTCTTCTCCTCCCTCCCTTCCTCTCTCTTTCTTTTTCTTTAGCAGTTCTTATATTCTTTTCCCATCTTCCTGTGAGTTTGAAGAATTAATGGCTGGTAATAGATAACAATTCAATTAGAATCTATCAAGATTGGCATTTTTGTGAACACAGGAAAAATTTTCTGTTTTACTAGTAATCAAAGAATTACAAATTGATATTTATGTTAAATTGACAGGACTGATAGGAAATGATAATGCTCAGTGTGGCAAGAGTATTGAGAAAGATTTATGTACTATGTGTATAAGCTAATTTATTCTCTCTGGTAGGAAATTTCAAGGTCTGTATTAAATGGATTAAAATGATCATACCTTCTATCAAACAATTTAACTTATGGAAATTTATATTTTGGAAATAATGAGGATTACATGCAAAGATATAGATAGAAAGATATTTGTAGGGCATTGATTATGAAAGAATTAAGGTGAATGTTTAACAATGAGAAATTTAGGGGGCCTGGCACAATGGCTCAATTGGCTAATCCTCTCCCTTGCAAGCACTGGGCTGCCATTTGGGTGCCTGTTCATGTCCTAGCTGCTCCACTTCCCTTCCAGCTCCCTGCTTATGACCTTGGAAAGTAGTTGAGGATGACCCAGAGCCTGGGGCTCTGTACCTGCGTGGGAGACCTGGAAGAAGCTCCTGCATCCTGGCTTTGGATAGGCTCAGCTCTGGCTGTTGTGGCCATTTGGGGAATGAACCAGCAAATGGAAAATCTTTCTCTGTCTCTCTTTTTCTCTGTAAATCTGCCTTTTTAATAAAAATAAATTTATCTATTTAAAAATAACAATGAGGAATTAGGGAAATCTATTTTGTAATAGGTTGGAAATTTATGACTTATGTCCCCACAATCCATATGAAACTTTTTCCTACAGATCTTAGCAGTAAGGGCATGGTCATTAAGCTTAGACGTACGCCTCAGTAGTTTAAGATAATATTGTAACTTAATATTTAGTGACATGGAACAAAAGCAGGTTATAAAAATATGACTTCATTTAAAAAAATACACATACATGGTGGTTGGATTTCAGATGGTTATCCTTTTCCTACATTTCTGATTTGCCTTCAATGAACATGTGATGGATTGTGTAATAAACAGTAAGTAGAATGGAAGGAGGGCAGAAGGGGCAGGATGTGTGTAGTCTATTCCACCTGTGCCGCCTCCTTCCCTAGGTGAAGTTTGCCAGAGATTCCGGCTCGGATGGGCACAGCGTTAGTTCCCGGGATTCTGCAGCCCCTTCTCCCGTGCCTGGTGTTGACAGCCTTTCTTCTGATCCTGCTGTGTCTATATCCACATCAGTGCCTTTCAAAGCAGGGTAAGATACTGCAGTTATATCAAGCTCCTTTATTGTTCAATAAAATGATTCCTTTTTGTTAAAAATATCTGTTTATTGATTTGAAAGACAGAGTGGCAGAGAAAAATCTTCTAGCTGCTGATTCTCTCCTGAAATGGCCACAATAGCCAAGGCTGATTCAGGCCAAAGCCAGGGTCCAGGACTTCCATTTTGATCTTCTACATGGGTGATCTGTCACATGATGACAGGTGCCTTAGTACCTGGACCATCCTCCACTGCCTTCCAAAGTGCAATCGCAGGAAGCTAGATTGGAAGCAGAGTAGCCTGTACTCCAATTGGCATTCCAGTATGGGAAGCTAGTATCCTATCAGCCTAACCCTCTGCATTACAACATTAGCCTCAATAAAATGTTTCTTGAAGGGATTCACAAATAAGGATATAATTGAAATGAGATAATTTAAAGCAATGGAATAAAACAGTAGGATCAGAGAGTGGGCAGGGTACTTCATCTGATTTTTTTAATGAGAAATTAATATTCAGTCTTTAAAAGCACTAGTTCAAATAAAAATACCTACAGAACTCTGAAAGAAAATTGAGAAAAGAGCATTCAAAGATTATGCAAAGAAGAAAAATCAAAATTGTTTTTTACAGTCATCAAATTGAAGAATAGTTTTGCAAACACTTTGTTTATCCATTATAATCTGCAGTTACCATTATGAAAATTATGCCGATCTCAAGTATGTCTGTTTGCTTTCAGGGAGCCGGCTCTTCGTACCAAATCTAACTCCCTAAGTGAACAGCTTTCAGTCAATGCAGTAAGTGTAAGAGTCTTTGTTTCTCACTCCTAATGTGTTAAGGTTTCATGTGCTTAGGATACAGTAAGTTAGAGAAAAAAAATATGGATTTGGGCAGGAAATCGCTGATTACTCAATTCCTTGTACTTGGGAGTCAGTGTAGGTTAGTTAGCTTTGCTGTCTGTAGGTGGAGCTAGGTTTAGTCATTATTCCTGTATGCATGTGACCTTGAGAAAATGAGCTGATTTCTGTGATCTTCAGTTTCTTCATTATTCCAATGGAAACAATTCTCTCAGCTCCCTTATACAATTCCTTGAGATTAGAGGTATACCTAAGTCTCTGTGCCAAGATCCTGGTACAGCATGTCTTCAGAAAGTGGTAGTTATGATTATGGGGGATGGTGTCAGATTCGGGGAGACCTTCAATTAAAATGCACTTACTAGAGGACTGTCTTTAGTGGTTAATTTTAGGTTCCCTCTGCTACTTATTTTATGTGACTTTCAACATCTTAGCTCCTCTAAACCTCACATTTATTCCCTTGTAAGGTGGAGAAATTTTCTGTCTCAAAGAAAAGTGTATGACTTTCAAATAGAATAATACCTATGGAGCTTTTAGTGTTGTATCTGGCATATTACTCAGTGAATACTGGCTCTTGTTAGTGTCACAATCATGGTGACCCTGCATGTCTTCATCCTTCCGTTCCATCAGAATACTTCTGAAAAGGTCAATAGCTGCTGTGTCTCTCCACAGATTACATGGCCTACATATATTCTATCTTAATAAAATTTAAACTTGAGTGCCTCTAGGAAGGGTGTGTGGGCTGGTTTACTGCTGCGCTGTCCGCTCCCTTGAAGCGTTCTGGGTTTCCTGCATGGGGGAGCCAGAGGCTATTTCAAGATTTTTTTTCTTTTTCTTTTTTTTTTTTCTGTAATATTTATTTATTTCAGAAGCAAAGAACCAGAGAGAAGGAGAGGGAGAAAGAGAGCAAGCACTCTCATCTATTGATTCCAAACTGTGAACTCAGTCTGGGTCTTCACAGGTGAAAGGAAACCAATTATTGGAGTCATCACAGAGCCTGCGAGGTTGTGGATTAGCAGGAAGATGAACTAAGAAGTAGGAGCTGGTTTTTGAATCCAGGCATTCCAATGGGGCCTCAGGTGTCTTGATTGGCATCATGTCTGCTAAGCCAAACATCCATCCCCATTTCAAATTGTAAAACCCTATGACTTAACCTACTGCAGTGGGAGACAGGTACATGTAAGTGAAATTGGTGCTTAATTTCCAACTCTAGTTTTTTTGTTTATATTAAACCGAGTGCAGGACTTATTAAGCAAATAATTGATCTGATATGTATAAAAGACTACTTCCTAAACCTAGATGGTTAAGCCAAAGAGTCAGAGCATTCAAATACTTTTTAAATAATTATAATATTGGATCTTTGAACAACTACAGAAGTTGTTCAGTTTTAGGGCTGGTGTTATGACACACTGCCAGCATTCTGTGTGGGTTACAGTTTGAGTTCTGGCTGTTCCGTTTCTCATCTGATTCCTCTGCTTAATGTGCCTGGAAAAGCAGCAGAGGATAGTTCAAGTACCTGGGTCCTCGCTACCCACAGGTGAGACACAACTGGACTTCTAGGCTTCTGGCATCAGCCTGGCCCTAAGTGAAGCAGCAGATGGAAGGCCTCGCTTCCTCCGTCCCTCTCCCTCTGAAACTCTGCCTTTTAGATAAATAAATAATTCTCAAAAAAAGATTTAAAAATAATCCCATTGTTCCATTGTACTTTCTAATCATAGCTACCCTTGTACCTATTTCTAAGCTTTAGTAAGTTTTGCTTTAATTATCTTCTTTCTCTTATTTTAGACAAAATTTACAGCACACATTAACTGTTTTTATTTTTACTTTTGAGTTTAATTTTTTTACTAGATAGTTACAATCATACAGTTATCAAAAATATATAATAAGATACGTTGTGAAGACTTTTAGTCCATCTCACATCCCTTTGTCACTGCTTTCTTTAGTTTGCTTGTATGTTTTTTCAGTGTTCTTTATACAAATACAGGTCAATAAAATGGATATTTTATTCCTCCCTTTTTTCACATACTCACAGAAGCATTCTTTCTACATTGTTCAACTTCCTCTTTATGTGTGATAGTTGTTTCCATGTTAGAATACAAAGAGCTTCCTCAATGTTTTTGAAAATCTATAGATCTTGATATTCTATTTTCTGGACTTGGTTGGTTCTTTAACCAGCTTTTTTTGTTGTTGTTGTTTATGTACCCATGTAAGTTAAACATGTAAAAATGAGCGCTTATTCCCAATATATGTCTGTTGACAAACTATGCACATGGAGTACTCTGTGTAAACAAACTTAATAATTGTAGTTTAGCAACAGAAGTTGTGATCACTTCTCTGTATATGTTGGGTAGCATCTTGTGTACCTGTAGGCATAGGCACACGCCATTCTAAATACTGCCCTTTGTATTAGTGAGTGGATATTACGAAGTCAGTGCAAAGTCAGAGGTAAATGAACCTGAGTTTAGAACACGGGGATCCTTTGTCCTTCTCCCCACAGCCTGTTCCAAATATCTATACTAAATTGCTATATGTTTGAGAAGACACTGTCATGTTAAAGCTTCCTTTCTTTAACATCTTTTTCAATGTTACATATTTTATTGTGTGCGTTATCAGTGTATATAAGATAATTACTCTTGTGAAGTAGGAATTGATTAAAATTCAAAGGCAGTTGTTAAGAACTGACAGGAATTTATGTATTGTGGCATGTGTGTTGTAGGGAAGCTTTTGCATAAGCTTCAGATTTGGCGTTCCTGACTATTCACTGGTCAGGAGAAGTGATTTGAGAAATTTAAAAGATTCATATGACTACAAAAAGGAACTGACTCTAGTATTTGCAGGGATTTGATTTGAAGGCCTTTCAGTTAGTTAGGAGGCCTTGTGGAGCACTGTACAGAGGACACCGTTTCAACCCTGCAGCTGCCTGGGAAACCTTGATGAGGGTGAACCTGGCCTCCAGCCAGTGCAGTCAAGCTGGTTTCATTATAGCAGCAGTGCTGGAGGGGCCAGAGCTGGCACCCCTAAGAGCCAGTCCGTTTGTCTGCTACCTTAGCTTTTCATCTGTAAATTGAGAATAATTATGCCTGGTGGGGAGATTTGATTGAAGTGAAGTAATATGTATGAAACTACCTTGTCCATTCCAAACATGTAGGGAATTATTTTTGCTGCTATTATTAATTGTGACCTATGCCAGAAATCTTTAAGTCTTATTCTGTGGAGGAAATGGTTTCATATGCATAAGGGAAGAGGGCTCGTTCAAGGATTTGTCATAAGAGCCAAAGGAATAAATCTTACTAAAAGGAATAACCTTAATCGTAATGATTCAATTTTTTTTAAACCTCTTCTCTTTTTAGAGTTCTGATACAGTCAAGGCCAAGTTGATCTCTCGAATGGCTAAAATGGGCCAGCCCATGCTGCCCATCCTTCCACCACAGCTGGATTCCAATGATTCAGAAATTGAAGTATGTCTCCCCTCATTGTGTTTGAAAGTTTGCTGTTCAAAGCTTGATGACTTCTGTTCTCTTGATTGAAATGATTGCTTATTCTACCTCTGGCCCAAAATCACTAGTTAAAATACTTCTATGTAAAATGATGCAGATCGGCATGATGCAGTATTTCTACTTTGATGCAAACAATTCTGTTGTAGTGCAATTGTAAGTAGTTAAGTTAGCCTCCATTTACTAGAACCTGTGCTGTTTGACTGTGGCAGCATGTCAGAGCAGCTGTTTCATTCCTCGTTGTTGATTGGATGATTAGAACCTTTTGGGAAATGGTGATTTTCACACTAGTATTACTACAGGTCTATCTGTTATGTCTTTTGATCTTATGTTAAAATAAATAATACAAATAGAGCAAATCATTGTGTTGAAAAATAACTCAGGATATTAGATTCGTTTGTCATAATTACTCTTGCCCTGTTTCTTGAAATTTAGAGTAATTTAGACCTGTCAGGAACTACAACTGGAAGACTTTTTTTGGAAAAGAATATTAGGGGAAGAAGGGAAGATCTAAAAAGCAGTCAGTGACTTCAGCCCTTGAGCTGCAGTAGAGCGGATCTCAGATGCTGAGTACTGTGTCACAGGATTTTCTGTTTGAAGTGACATGAAGAGTAACCTTGGTTAGCCGTATTACTGTGATTTTATGAAAAAGAAAGGGAAAAAGCAGTCTGAAACTTTGTTATCCAAAACCAGCATGTTGATGAGATGCAGTGAGTCCTGCTCTGACTTTCCTTGAGTGGTGTGAGGCGGGTGGAGTTTATCTGGCCGAAGAGAAGAGGCTGAACTATCCCCTGAGAGAACCCCTCCTCCTTGGTGAGAGCAGATTGAGTCAGTTTTAGAGTAACTGCTGGTTTGGAAAGTGCTACGTTTCAGAAAGCTGTCAGCTTCAGACAATAAAACATTAACAGCTTAGAATGTTTGTGTAAGTTAACTGTATTTAATTACTTGGTATGATTAACAGGGAGCAGTCTTACTCTCATCTGTAATTGAGTGTTTTCTTTCCACAGCCCACACCCTAAACTCTGGGCCTTCTGCTTGCCTTTCCTTTCTCTTGTCTGTTTAGAAACCACGTGCTGAAAGTGGGTTTAAGGCAGACAGTCAGTCGGCCTCAGTCTTCAGTTAAGATCCATACATGGTAACCAGAACCCTTGTGCCTCTTGTAGGAGATGAATGCTGTGCGAGGAGCTGGACAGCCCATGGTGACTCCATCATCCATCCATCCCACTCCTCAGCCAGCCCATCCAGTGTTACCACAGATGACCTCACAGGGTAAGGAACCTCTCGGAGGCTCCGTGGCTTTGAATCGGTTGAGCGCTGATATGATCAGCATTGTCCCTCAGTGTGAATTTACATTGCTTTAATACTGAGGTCTGGACCAGAGTGTTAAGATTCCTCATTTTGTCTTGGGTAGAGCTTCTTCATAGGTGAAGATATGTTTGGCCTGCTACTGTGTTGCATTGTCAGTGTGTGAAATCTGCACTCAGCTATTGAGACATCTCTCTGTGTGTTGTTATTCTACCCTTCTTGTCAGTGGATGGGATCGCGGGTCTGAGTCACATGCATGAGAGATTGCCCAGTTTCCTTCCACTGGCACATTACTGAGACTCCAGCAGAGCTGGTTTTAGGATAGTAGGCGAGGAAAATAGAGGAATCTAAAACATGGCGATGTGTAAGCTGCTAAGTCCAAACTTAGACCAGGAAGCCAAGAATGGATAACAGAGGAAATGTCTTCCTTTATCTTAGCACCCCAGTCATCTGTTTCTGGGCTCCATGCACCCTCTGCTGCCTTAATGCAAGTTGCACCTCTTGATTCCCACTCAGCCGTACCTGGAAATGCCCAGTCCTTTCAGGTAATAATATATTAAACTGTATCAATTATAAACTATCATGTATTATGGTTCTTTCTTGTACAGTTCATACAGCAGCATTTTCTCAAAGTCAAAACTTGTAGTTTTTTTTTCCTCTTTGGATCACTGCTTTTTCATCTCTAAATCAGGCAAAGGATTGCTTATCTTGCAGGTTGTTGTATAGTGGTTGAGTGCAAAGCCAACACAGTGCCTCTTTGATGTCTGGGCCTGGCATATGGTAAAGGTTCAGTCAATGTTCATTTCATTTCCTTTTCATTGCACATACGTTGTCGAGGCATACATGTTCACATCATCTGTGCTGTTTCCATCTAACAGCAGATAACAGGCGGTGTGTATTGTACTCAGCAGGATTACCATCCTGGCTTGAGGGTAGACGCTGGGTAGAAAATACCCATGACCTCTGCTGTGTGAATGTCCTCTAAAAGTAAGCTTGTTTCTTCTTCTCATTGAAGGCAGGGCAGCCACCTGCCTACCTCTGTGGCCTGCTTGCTGCTAGGCAGACTCTCTGTCCTCAGCTTACTTGGTGGTGAGACCAGGTGCTCACTTCCTTGAAGGGAGAGATGGTGGGCAAGCCGGGCCCTGTTAGGGTGGAGAGCGTCAAAACTGAACAAAGTCCTACCCTGTCCTTTTTATGTTTCCTCCCCATTTCCCCATGAAGAACTATGCTACAGACTAGATTGTTGTTGTTGTTTTTAATGGATGTATAGTTGTATCTTTTCCTAGAAACGAGGTGGTTTGCCCTAGTTCAAGGAAAAAATGGTCATCCTCATTAAAAATGATAGCTGTTTATTTAGCATTTACTTGTTGGCAGGTACTTAACTTACTGGCTCTTAAGAACTTTATTATGTCACTTGTTTTACTCATATAGTACCCTATGAAATGATATAATTATCCCTGATCTACAGTTGAGGTGATTGAGTTTCAGAGAAAAATGATATCTTTCAGTCACATTAATAAGCATCAGAATCTGACAGGAGAGAATCATTTTTTTGAAAGCCAAAATATTTAGTTTGGGATTTCAGTAAACACTTCCCCTTTAATTCAGTGGAAACTATTCAAACTTTAAAACTTTGTTTTAAATTTCTCAGACAATGTGCTTGCTAGTAGGGAATGAATTCCTGCTTAATTAAATCGTAACACCAGGGAACTGGGTAGTGACCCAGGATCTCTTTCCTCAATTTCTGCGCAGGGCTTCAGTGACCAGATGCCACGGGATACAGTGACAGCCCTAACTCTGCCGTAGTTCTTACCCACTGCCAGACCACATCTTAGCTGTCTGCAGTTTGGGTCTTTTCCCAGCTTACCAACTTTGTTGCACCAAAGGAGACTACTAAGCAAAAAAAGAGACAGCAGAGTGTTTGTGAAGCAGTGGTAACTTGTCACTCTCTCAGCCCTATTCAGGAATGCAGGGCTACGCATATCCCCCAGCAGCTGCCGTGTCCTCACAGCTACAGCCTGTTCGACCCTTGTACCCAGCGCCACTCTCACAGGCTCCCCATTTTCAAGGTAGGAACAAATTCCTTCCATTTTCCGCCTTCTGCCCTTGCTGTGCTCTCCTTCCTCCCATTTCATTTTCATTTTTGTCCTTACAGCTCTCTGGCCTTTGCCTCTTTCCTTTGTAGCAGCTTTAATGAGGTGTAATTTATGTACCACACGGTACACCCATTCTAAGACTGTTTTTTTTAGGAGAAATCTTATGGAATTGTACATCCATCATAAGGTGAATGTAGAACATTGCCACATCCTCAAAGTTCCTTGATGTCTGCATTCTGTGTTTTGTTTCTTGTATTTTTTTTTTCTAATTCCTCTGTTAGAGGGACTAAAGTATAGGAAATAATAGAAGAGCAAAACATTGGAGGAAATTGGGAGAAAGCATGAACACTGCAATAGTTCAGAATCTCAAAAATGAAAGCCGAGGAGTTAAAACTTTTGAATTCTGAAAGTAATATACTTTATAAAAACATCAAGAACTGTGAAAATATCTACAGGGCAAGGTTATTGTCTTCCTTCGCTAAACCCCAACCCTAGGAAACCATTGTTGACGGTTACTTGAGTTACTCTTCAGGTGTTTTGCATGCACATACAAGTGTGGGTACCTTACAAGAGAAAATTCAGACAGTTGTAATGGTATCCTGCCTGGTCCTGCCTGGCTTGTCCTTTGCTAAGTAATCACCTTTGGTATTTGCACGGTGCTAGGAAGAAGCAAAGATATCCTACAACATGATTTGTGTTCTGAAGTGGTAGTGGCTTCCTGCACACAGCTTTTTTTTTTTTTTCCTGGAAGCCCTTTGCCATCTCCATCCAGAAAACTTTTTATCCTTCTGTGAAGCTTTCCCTAAACTGGTATCATCCTCCTTTCTATCCTCCAAGACCCAACTTTGTGTATTATTAAAGAGTTAATCATGCTCTTCTTTTTAGTGCTTGAGTACCTTGTACCTGGTCCCCTTTTTTTTTTTTTTTTTTGCACTTGGAATATTCTGTTGTAATGATGTGTTGATGTCAACATCTTGATCAAACAGCTCACTAAGTGCATGCTTGTTGATGGCAGCTGATATAATGCCTGGCAAGTTGGATGAAAGGGATGGCATTTCAAGCTGCCAGTGCCATAGCAGCCCAGAGTGAACACGTTTGTGTCCCTGAACCACACTGTAAATCTTGGTCATCTTGGTCATTTTGCAGAAACATGGTTTAATTGTTAGCTTTGGGACTCTGTTGCTTCTACCATACTGTCCTAACAGGGTTTCCTGGCACATAGTCTCCCGAAACATTTCCCAGTACATGCAGACATCCATTCCTTTCTTTTCTTGGCTTGTAAGACTTAGTGACTTTTCCTTAGATCATTTCTTTTGCTCCAGTATTTTTAAGTTTCTTATTGGCTTTTATATGTCTAGGATCAGGTGACGTGGCTACATTCCTTATGACAGAAGCCCGGCAGCATAACACTGAAATCCGAATGGCAGTCAGCAAAGTAGCTGATAAAGTGGATCATCTCATGACTAAGGTAACTGAGTGAGGGTGGGGATACTGTTGAAAAGGAGGGTAAAAAGGGAGTATCCACAACTACAAGTAAACTCTTGTTTGGTAGTAGTCGCTATTTCACCCAGAGGAGGTGTTATTGGGGGATCTAGTGAGTAGGAGTAAACTGTAGCTTGCATTTAGAGATGACCTCAGAAACTCCTTAAACCCCTCACAACGGTAGTCAGAGCTTGAGAAAGTTGCATTTCTTCATATTAAACTTCCTCACAAGATCTGTCTGGCATCCCTTTTGTAGGTTGAGGAACTAGAGAAACATGGTCCTGCCAATTCAATGCTTCTTCCGAGCATGTCAGTTACAATGGAAACAAGCATGATCATGAGCAACATTCAGCGGATCATTCAGGTGAGGGGAATCAGAAGAGAGCTCTCAGTTTGGACATTGCCCTTACTTTCCCCTTTAAAACTTCTACGCCCGAAGTAAAGAGCTTGTGGTAAATGCTACACAGGAAAATCCACTGTGGCTTAATTTGGTCTGAAGTGAGAAATGAGAAGGAAACATTGCATTTTGATTATATTTCAAAATTACAGTAAGTCCATTAGATCTAGTGATTTCAATCCATTGGGAATAATTTGATATAATTTTAACTATTATGTCAATGTGAACATAAGTTAGAGTTTTTCATCTAAAAATAGTGTTGACTATGTCAAATTGACTCCCTTTTCTTTGGCATTTTTTTCTCAAGGCAATTAAATTGCACATTGTGTATTTTGAATTTAGGAAAATGAAAGACTGAAGCAAGAGATCCTTGAAAAGAGCAGTCGAATAGAAGAACAAAATGACAAGATTAGTGAACTGATTGAACGAAATCAGAGGTAATAACAGGTATGGGGCCTGACCAGGATGGACAGAAGGACCACATGTGTAGAGGCCCAACTTAAATGCACGTGTTTGTTTAGGGTAGCTGCTGTTTGTCTCAGGCCTGTCTTGTGAATTACTGCCAGATTTCTGAGAGGCACTTTTGGAGAAAGAGCTCAGGGGGTTGCAATATAAGCCTGTTGAGTATTTGACTCCTGGCTCTCCCCTGATGGATTGCATGACTTTATTTCCACTATCTCTAATTTCTTCATCTGTAAAAATGATGTTAGTGCTTGAAAATGTCTGCTGTCAATATTTCTGTCTTCAGTATGGGCTCACTCTATTTTATCAGCTTGAACTCAGCCAGAATCTCACTGACTACCATATAAAACCCGCATTTAATAAAGGTTCTTTTGAAGCCTTAAGGGGTTGGGAGAACATGCCACGGAACGTGAAGAAAGGCTCATTCTCTTGCATTTCTCTTCTCCAGGATCTCTTGTCTCCCATACGGCAGGATTGGGGGAGTGACATTTTTCTCTCTCCCTTCCTTCTAGCAGCGTTCTTACTCCTGGCTCTCTCCTCTTTTATGACTTGTTAATCACACACTCCTTGCATTGCTCTCATTTTTATTATACAGAGCAACTCACCCGGGTTCCTGCCTCCAACCTTCATTGCTATAGATCGAAGGAAAATAAAATGCTTTCAGATCATTTTTGATGAAACGATAGAGCAGTATTGTGAAGGCTGAACAGATACTGGCTTGTGCTTGGCAAATATTCTTTGCTTATCAAATGTTTTCTTTTTCTATATTTCTTTCAAAGGTATGTTGAGCAGAGTAACCTGATGTTGGAGAAGAGGAACAACTCACTTCAAACAGCCACAGAAAATACACAGGCAAGAGTATTGCATGCTGAACAGGAGAAGGTAAAATAACAGGGGAGAGAAAAGCCCAGATCAGGATGTGCAGTGCTAAGGTGTGGCCCCACATACATACATACCAGATGAGCTTTCAGCAGAATTTTTGCTGTCAGTGGACAGATAACTAGAAATCATTCAACGGATTTTTATATATTCATTGTCCACATATTGCTCTTATAATATGCTTTGTAATAAGTTGACTCAAAAATGATCAGTATACCTCGCAACTTCTGGAGTTTACTTACTTTCTCATGTTCTAGTAACAGTGAAGCTTCCTCATGTATGCCTCATGTATGCCTTATGCCTTATTCCTCATGTATTCCTTATGTATTCCTTATGTATGCCTTCATATTCTCCTGGCCATCGTGTCCAGGCAAATTCTGTCTGACTGATGACACAGACAGGGCCTTGCCTAAACAGCATTGTCCATTACTAACACTTTTTTTTCTTTTGTTTTTAGTATTTTTTTTTTTAAATTGGAAAGTTGAATATACAGAGATGAGGAGAGACAGAAAGATCTTCTGTCCAATGATTCATTCCCCAAGTGGCCGCAATGGCCGGAGTTGTGCTGATCCTAAACCAGGAGCTTGGAGCCTCCTCTTGGTGTCTCATGTGGTTGCAGGGTCCCAAGGCTTTGGGCCATCCTTGACTGCTTTCCCAGCCCACAGGCAGGGACCTGGATGGGAGTGGGGCCACCAGGTTTAAAACCAGCGCCCATATGGAATCCTAAAGCATTCAAGGCGAGGACTTCACCCACGAGGCTACCGCAGCAGGGCCCACTAACCCTATTTCTTTTTATTTTTTTTTTTTTACTAACCCTATTTCTTTCCAATTGCTATATTATACCAGTTTGTTGGTTGTGCTCATTGTAATGCCTGGTTCAAGATCAGCAACCTGTGACATTGATATAAGCCAGTATTGAAGTTACTTACCAATATACTTTTTACAGTTTCTCCTTCTTCTGCCTTTATTTTATGTCTCCTTTTTATTTTTTCCTACCTCTCATGTTGTTCTTTCCCCCCCCCTTTTTTCCTTAGACATATTCATTATCCTCACTGATACTTTTCAGAGAGAAAATGATAACTATAACCACTTTGGTTGTCCCCAAACCCTGGCTGGCTACTTCAGAATCATTTGGGGACTTTATTAAGCTTTACCTGCACAGATTCTAATTTAGTATGTCTAGCTGAGGTTTGGGGTCTGAACCTGATTCCAAGATAGAGCCATGTATAGGAATCACCATTGCTGTTGGTGATTTTACTGTCTCTCTCTGGAGGTTGCAGCTGGACGCCTTTGTTTTCAGTGAAGTTCAGCATTTGACTTGAAAAATGACCATCACTCTTATGTAATCTAATGATACTTTTGTTTACTAAAACAAGTCACAAGTCAGTGTGGCCTATAGGTTGTAGTTAGCTGACCCCTGAATTAATTAGCTCATTTTTCTATCAGATATTTGCATGTTGACAAACTCCAAAGATATCTGGTGTAGTGCTTTGAACCTGGTGGGTGCTCCAGTTATACTAGCAAAGGAAGCAGCAGAAGTGCCAATAACAGCCATAATCATAACCTATGTCAAGTACTCGCTGGGCTTGAGAGATTGTGCTTCAGACACACGAGTCTGTGGGAATCTCCGTAGCTGGTGCTGGTATTCTTGAAGGCTTGAACACTTAGTACCATGTACTTGGCTTGGTCACCTTTTAAGCCTCAACTCTTATCTGTCTGTTACTTAGTGAAAAACCTTTTCCTCATGGTAGTCCATTTAAAGAAAGACAAGCAAGGTCCTTCTAAGTGTGGAGGCAGGTCTATCTTCAGACACAGCTCAGAAAGGTACTGTTAAGAATTCAATCAGGGAGAAAAGGGAAGTGAAGGATTCAGGGAGGTAAGAAACCCTATAGCTATAAAACTGTATCGTGGTAAATAATAAATGTACTTGAATTAAAAAACAAACAGACAAACAAAATTCAGTGAGGGGCTGGTGTTGTGGCATAGCACCTTAAGCTTCCACCTTGGTGCTGGCAACCCTTATGGTGCCATTTCGAGTCCCAGCTTCTCCACTTCCAATCTAGCTTCCTGGATGCTTATGGCCTGGAAAGGCAGCAGAAGATGACTCAAGTTCTTGAGGCCCTGCACCCAGGTGGGAGACCTGAAAGAGGTTCCTGGCTCCTGGCTCCTGGCTCCTGCCTTTGGATTGGCTCAGCTCAGGCCAATACAAACATTTGGGGAGTGAAATCAGTGGATAGAAGAGCTCTCTGTGTCTCTCCTTCTCTCTGTATCTTTGCCTTTCAAATAAAACGAAATTATTTTTCCCGATGATAGGATTAAGAGAGACATGCAGAATGATGGAATAATTGTTGAAGAAATAGTAGAGGTTACTTAGTTTAATCTTGTTTTACAAAGGGACAAATTGAATTCAGCCCAGAGGGTGAAAGGTGACCTGGGATATCACTTCCGGGTAGCTGGATTCTTTTTCCCATGTCAAATGCAATCTGTGTTCAGTGTTGTTGTGTTGTTTTCCTGCTCCTAACTGCCCTTTTCACTTGCTTTTTTTTTTTTTTTTTAACTTCTAGTTCATCTTGTCATTTTGTTTCCCCAGCATTCCTTGTCAACAGTAAAACTTCATCTATCTGGAAATCAGGGAGCCATTGCACCCACTCTAGGTGTTTGGTGTGTTTTTTTTCCCCACTCAATATTGTGTACCATGACTTAAACCACTATGGTAATATATAAACACACAAATGTGTATACATGCACATATTTTTTTCTCTTTTTATAGACTTTTTAAGGATCGACCTTAATGTCGGTTCATTCTAGAAAATTTGGAAAGCCTTAGCCTCCTTCCTGTTTATTTAGTTACACCAGTGTAGGGCTATGTGAGGTTGAGTCATTACTTACAAAGCACCCATGTTTAAAGTGACATTGTCTTTGTTACAACACAGGCCAAGGTGACAGAGGAGTTGGCAGCAGCGACCGCACAGATCTCTCAGCTGCAGCTGAAAATGACTGCTCACCAAAAGAAGGAAATGGAACTGCAGATGCAGCTGACAGAAAGCTTGAAGGATGCAGATGTTCTCAGGTGCCAGCTTGCCAAAGCACAGGCAGAGCTCTCAGGTGTGCCCTCACTGGGGGATGCTGGTGGTTTTAACATTGAAACTAAGGAGTTCATGGATTTTCCTCCTCTCCATCCTTGTGCAGCACCGTTTATGAAGTTTGGGAAGTGGGGAGCCAAAGATTAAGACAGATCAACAGGATTGTTTTAACCTAAAGGAAAACGAAAAAACTGTTTGGGATTGAGTTGACACAGTCTCCCTTTGAGCTAATACCACCTGCAATTTCTTTGGTATCTGTGGTTGGCTTCATATGCCTGGAAGAGTTGACGTGTTGAGTCACAGTTTCCATTGTGCATTTCTACTTCTTAGAGGATGCTGACAGATCCTCAGCCTGGTCACTCCAACTTGGCATATCTTCCATTCCGTTGTCCAGATCATCCTGGCTCGGATTGTGGATCTCTTTGGATCTTGGGCCTTGAGATGTGGGGGCACTATTACATTAAAAAGACACAGGGAACCAAGGGGATAAGGATTTCCAAAGCAAAAAGTATTTTGTGAGCTTACCTTCTGTCCGTTCTATGCAGCTCTCTAAACAACCTTCAAGAACAGACAATCCAGGAGCATTTTGGCTACAAGGTCACTTGGTCTTCAGTTAGACGTAATTTGCACAGTGCAGTAGTTATGACCATGCAAGGGGGTATTCCAAATGCGTGTCTTAGTTCTCATGAACTTGCATTCTTTTTCTAAGCTACAGTTGTTTTCCAAGGATAAAAACAAGCCCATGTGGGAATGGGCCATGAAGTGCTGGAGCAGAGCCTGTTCACTAGGCAACACTCCAAGGGGGCCCACCTGCAGGCACTTGTCTCCAGGCCTTCCCAAAGACTGAAGGCACTCCCAAGGGTCATGGCAGTGGAGGGGGGCGTGCTAATCAGGGCTCAGCACACACTCCTCTGGCCCCTCAGGGTTATATCTGACCATGTCTACAAGCTTGCTGACTTCGCTTACTTTTTATCCAAGTATATTCTTGTATTCTGTGGGCCTGTGGGCTTGCTGTGTTGCTATCACCAATATTTGCTTCCACTCCTCCCCAGAATATGCCTCTTAAGCTTTCTCAGTTTTTTCCTAGAATATTCTTTGAGACCCCTTTATTTCTGTTTTCCCCTTTTGAATACAAGCCCCTGGAAGGAATGGGTGGTGTTTTGCTTGTGTTTATGAAGTTCTTTCCTCCAGGTTAGTATTAGTTCAGTAACTAGCACAAAGGTAGTACTTAACATGGTGCTTGGGTGGAAGAGTTTTGAAGACCAGTATCTTGATTTGTCTTCCTCAGTGTATAGAAATAGATGTGGAAGGCATGATGGGACCACTGGGTGAGAGGAAACTAGTGCCCTAAGAGCTGGATAGAAGCACAGTTCACTTGCCTAAGAGGGAGCTACAAACACTGTCAGTTAAGATGCGTCTCTTGCCCTTCAGCGCATCATATGAGGCAAGCAGGTGCTGGACGGTCTTAAATTTCAGTGCTGTGTAATTTTCTTGTTTCTTCTTTGTAATGTGTTATAATGATTACCTCAAGTTTTTCAACCAAGTGCTGGTGTGCTAAATTTTAAAAATATATATCAAATAGCTTCATATTAGAAGGCATGTTTTGAAAGTAAGCTCTTTGTAGAAGGGCCTAGCTATAAAGAAAGTTGAGAGCATTTTACCTGGGTAGTGAGAAAGGGCCCAGATTATTAAACAAACATCTGGCTGGTGGCATAAGATGTGACCAACATGGAATTGTGGGAGTGCTTGGTTCCAAAGGTGATCTTTGACCGCTTGGACTATTTCATCTTGTTTTGACCTGTCTAGAAGGGCCACATATGTTGCTCTCAGCCTTTTGGCTAAGATGAAGTGTAGAAGGGCCACATACATATAGAGATGGCCAGTCCATAGAGAACAAATGTGGTCTAGAAAACCTTACTGTTGGCCTGCGAAATGATGCTGGGAGAAGCGAGCGGAGGGTGTTTGTGTGGTGATTGTGAGGGATGGAGATGTGCACCTCTCACAGAGCTGCCGGGCTGCCATGGTACCCCCTGCAGCTCTGGTTCCACAGCCCCAGCTCTGCTCTGACATTCCAGAGCTCCAGGACACTTCTGAACAAGCCCAGACCAAATTCAAAAGTGAAAAGCAGAGCCGGAAGCAACTGGAGCTCAAGGTGACATCCTTGGAGGAGGAGCTGGCTGACCTTCGAGCTGAGAAGGAGTCTCTGGAAAAGGTAAATTGCACAGAGTTTCTGTGTTGGCCCTATATATCCAGAGATAGCTGTGAAATAGATGGCATTTGTTTTTCTTTTAAAAATTGTAGTAGTATGTGTTCATTGTACAACATTGTAATACAAGTAATACAGAAAAATGTAAGGTATCTTACCCTTTTACTCTCTAATCTGAGGTGTCGATTATAAACAATATGTGATCCTTTCAGATTGTTTTCTATGTATATGAAATCTCTCTCTGTCTCTCTGAAAAGATTTATTTATTTGAAAGGCAGAGTTACAGAGAAAATGAGAGATCTCCATTCTCTGGTTAACTCCCCAAATGGCTACAACAGCCATGGGTAAGCCAGGCCAAAGCCAGGAACCCAGAATTCCATCAGTGTCCCAGATGGGTGCAGAGGCCTGAGCACTTCAGCCATCTTCTGCTGTTTTTCCAGGCACTTTATCAGAGAGCTGAATCACAAAGTGGAGCAATAAGGAGTTGAACTAGCATTCATATGGGGTCCTGATGTCACAGGTGGCTGCTTAACCCACTGCGCCACAACTCCAGCCCACTTTTCTCATCCTATTTAAACCATTTCATAGCGGTCTGCTTTGAGGTTGTGCCATAATTTAATTATTTACCAGTTTTAGATTTATGTTTCTCATTTTTCATTATTTCAAGTATTACTGCTGTGAATTTCTTCATACTATGTAACTATTTTTGCTAACATACGTTAGGATAAATTGCTTGAAATTATGGGATGTAAAAGAATCCTATAGATTCACATTTTAAAATAAATATTACAGTTTATTCTCCAAGAAGAGTGTGCTAATTTATACTTTTAGTACTGTATCTCTCTCTGCAGTTTTCTAAACTCTACATGTTACATTTTCTAATCTTCATTAGTCTGACAAGTAGACAATATATTGCCTTGTTTTAAGATTTTTTTATTAGTAATAATACTTTTCTATACTTAATATCTTGTTCTTATTCTGTGACTTTTCTCTTTAAAGTCCTTTGCTCTCTTTCTCATTGTTATATTGTATATTTTATTTGTAAATTGTGTTCAGGATATGAATACTTTGTCATACATGTTGGAAATGTTTTCTCTAGTTGGTTATAATTTTACTTTATCAGAAATTTAATATGAAGGTAATACTAGCCCAGTTGAACTGAGTGGGAACATTTATATATTTTTCTGTGTCATAGTGATTTAAATATGAAAAAAGACAAACTGTTCCTGAGGTTTTAAGTAAAACTTTACTTGTAAAGCTGTTTCGATCCAGTCCCTTTTTAGAATGTTAATCTTAGTCTGTGTTTACATTTTCATCTGTAGTTTCTTCAGTTCATTTTAAGCAGTTTCTTCTGATTTGGGGGGTCATTTGCAGCTTTTCATTGTAATAGACACTACGTCAGTAACTCATTGTAATATGTTCTTTATGAATATCACTTACTACTTCCTTAAGATAATTGATCATTTATGGATTTTCTGGGTGTGCTGATTTTTAAAGGCTTTGCGTAGACTCGTCCCGAGATAGCATATGCATTTGTTTCCTACCAGGAAAATGTTGGGGTGCCTGTGCTCCGTACCCCACTAAGGTTAGGATGTTCCCGTCTGTCACTGGACTAGAGACAAAGCTCTTCATGTTTTCATTCTCCTTATCACACTTTCTCTCACCCATTAGCCAAAGATGTTAAATATGTAGGGATAACTTCAGCTAAAAAGTGAACTATTTCCAGAAATGGATGAAGGACCCCGTAAGGTCTTATTAACCGTCACCACCATCTCCATTGTCTTTTGTTCCTAAGAACCTCTCAGAAAGGAAAAAGAAGTCAGCTCAAGAGCGTTGTCAGGCTGAGGAGGAGATAGATGAAATGCGCAGGTCATACCAGGAGGAGTTGGACAAGCTTCGACAGCTCTTGAAAAAGGCTCGCATCTCCACAGACCAGGCTGCTGCAGAGCAGGTGATGGGCGGCTCAGGCACTGGGGAATGATGGGAAGGGTGGAGGACTCGGAGGGAAGAGCTGGTTTCTCCCATTAGGTATATGTGCTGCCCAAATGAGCACGGTTTCTCCTGATAGGATAACATTTCTCATAGCTGGCATTCTAGCCTTGGAGAAAGGTGGGGATGGGGATACACTTAGATGCAGGAGGACCAGGAACTAAATGGGGATGCTTCTTTCCTTTGGGAAACATGATAATATCATAATAAATAAAACATAGAAAAAAATCTCTTTACAAAAAATTCCAAACATGGTAAGGCCAGATGCCATTCTTCAGGTGCCAGATGCTGTTCTTCAGATGCAGACTTTGAAAGAAAGGAGTTACTTACGGTGATCAGGAGTGGCAGCCAGTGATAGTGGCAGGGCACAGTGGGATTTTTTTTGGGGGGGTTAAGATATTCTATTTAATTTTTTGTTGTTATTATTATTTTTTTAAATTATTATCATTTTATGATACAGTTCCATAGACTCCTGGGATTTCCCTTATCCCAGCCCCAATTCCCTCCCCCCCCACCTAGTTCCTCTGTATCATTACTAAAGTATAGTTCTTCATACACAGTCATATGTCCATCATTGCGGGCATGGTCAGTGGCAGAGAGTTCAGCATCCTATTGTGAAGATATAGTAAACAGTTTCATTGTAAGTCCATCTGTGTCTGGAAGTAGAAATGCATACTGCATTGTATCCTCATCTGGATATGTTAGTCTCCATTTCACAGCTGCTGTACATCCCCTCAAATGAAAAATCATAATACAAAATCAACAATAGAAAGAAGAGTAAAAATTTACATTGCCATAGTGGGATCTTTAGTCCATTTGACAAGAAACCATTCTAAGTTTACAATTCATAAGTGTATGTATGTTTAATTAGAGTGCCTCATTCCTTTATTTGATTATCTCTGGGAATTTTGTTTAAAAAAAAAAAAAGAAATTCTGAGCCTATAAAGTGGATGGTCCAGACTCTGAAAAGTGCTGATCTCATCATGGCCTTTCATGGATCTGAAGCTCTGGAGTCATACGTTTGATTGGAATGCCTTTTGGAGTCCTGACAACCAGTGTACCTTCCTGCCTACATATTAATTTTTTTTTAAGATTTATTGTATTTTTATTTGAAAGTCAGATATACAGAGAGGAGGAGAGACAAGACAGAAAGAAAGATTTTCTGTCCGTTGATTCATTTTCCAAGTGGCTGCAATGGCTGGAGCTGCACCGATCCAAAGCCAGGAGCCCAGAGACTCTTCCGGGTCTCCCACGTGGGTGCAGGGTTCCAAGGCTTTGGGCTGTCCTTGACTGCCTTCCCAGGCCACAAGCTGGGAGTTGGATGGGAAGCAGGGCTGCCGGGATACAAACCGGCATCTATATGGGATCCTGGCGCATGTAAGGCAAGGACTTTAGCTGTTAGGCTACCGCACCAAGCTCTACAGTTTTTTAAAAAAGACTTATGCATGTATGTATGTATTTGAAAGAGTTAGGAGGAGAGACAGAGATAGAGATCTTTCATCTGCTGATTTACTCTTCTAGATGGCCTCAATGGCCAGGGCCAGGCCAGACTGAAGCCAGGAGCCATATATGTCTGACACTTAGGTGGCAGGGACCCAAACACTTAGGCCATCCTCTGTGATCTTTCCAAGGCCACCAGCAGGAAGCTGGATTGGAAGTAGAACAGCCAGGATACAAACCGGTACCCATACAGGATGCCAGTGTTGTACATGGCAGTCTTACCTGCTATGCCACGATGCCAGCCCCACTACTAACATTTTAAAAGTACAGTTGTTTTAGATATTAAGCCTAGCAGTCAAGATGACCACATCCAATAGTGGAATGCATTCCCACCTCCCTGCTTTGGCTTAAACTAGACCTCATTGTTGTGGGCATTTGAAAAATGAACCAGCAAATGGGGGCACTCTCTGCCTGCAGTTGAAGAAATAATTTTTTAAGAAGCACACTTCCTTGGAAAGTAATGAAGATCTTTCAAATAGTATTTCTCAGGTCCTTTCAGGTGGGTAACTTATTATTGTGCCTTGGGAAGGACAGGTCTCTCTTCATAGCATAACATTGTTTCCTCTTGACAGCTGTCTGTAGTGCAGGCCGAGCTCCAGACCCAATGGGAAGCAAAATGTGAGCATCTGTTGGCCTCAGCCAAGGATGAGCACCTGCAGCAGTACCAGGAGGTGTGTGCACAGAGAGATGCCAACCAACAGAAACTGACACAGCTTCAGGAAAAGGTAGAGCTTTGTCCTGGGCCATGCATCTTAAACAGTCCAGTTAACTTGAGGCAATGAGCCTTTTGAGTCCAGAGGATATAAATGTCTAGAAAACAAAACCACACTTGTTTAACCATCTATTTTGTTAGTTATCCTTCACATGCTTATTTGAAATGGCTGATCATTGACCTGGAGAAAGAAGAAAGAGCACCAGTGTTCTGGAACGTGTTTCTCATTATTATTTGATTCTTCCTTTATATAAAAAAAAATAATGTGTCAGGTGCCAGTTGTGTCTCAGCAACTCTGTTCTGGAAAGGGCATACAAAACACTCTGCCCTCAAGAATCTCAGTCAAGAAGAGAAACAAAGGCATTCATTAAGTGCTGTGAGTCCCAGAAGAGGAAGTTCTTAGGGGAGTCAGGAAGGCTTTCCAAAGGTGGTGACATTTGAGCAGAAGCAGGAAGGACCAGAAGGGTTGATAAGGTAGAGAAGGAGGTGGCATGTCCTGGGCCAAGGCATTGAGGTGGAATGGAGACTAGGGTATGCTGGGATCATCAGACGAGAAAAGGAGAGAGATGGGACATGGCTTAGGGTCATGGTGGGAATGTCCTGTAACTGGAGGCATTTTATCTCAAAGTGTCCAGCTGAAAACCACTGACCCAGAGATCTGGGAAGCAGGCTTGTGGATGAATAATTTGTTGCTATGCTGAATGTTTACATCTTTGTGATGAGGACTATTTCCACCATCACCACTCTCACATTTATTTCCTTGTTTCTTGATCTGATTAGAAACCAGGCAAGTGACCATGCGGGAAAAGAGAAGTGAAGTTGTGAGTTGAGGTAGTGTGATGAGGAAGTAGAATACTGGATGGCAGCTGATATCCCCACAAAGCCATGTGAGGATCAGGCTGGAGAGTTAGGACAAATCCCCTCTCCCTGGGTTTCCTGACCTGTGACATGTAATACAGGTTCCCCAGGCCCACAGTCTGTTCTTTTGCAGTGTCTGGCCCTCCAGGCCCAAGTTGCAGCCCTCACCCAACAAAAGGAGCAGCACATCGAGGAACTGCAGAAGAACAAGTCCCAGCTCTCTGGGGATAAAGCTGCTGCTAACCCCTCAGAAAAGGTGAGCTGGCATTTCAAAGCAGCAACAAGCCATATCCGTTCAAGAGATGAACTGTACCAGTCACACATTCACAGTGAGGCCAATTCGTTGTGTATGTAGTAGCTATTTTCCTAATGTTAGTGATACACCACTTTTCTGACTTCAAGTTAACCTTTTGGAACTTGACACCCAAATGGCAGACCCAAAAGGTCCCTGTCTGAGACTTTGACATGTTTGGAAAGTGCCTGTAAATCACAGGAGAGAAATAGGTGGAGAGGCTGTACTAACCACTAATCTTCTCAGTCCATGAAGCTCTTAGTGGGACTCCAGGGGCAGCGAGGTGGGGGGTACAGGGAGAGGCACCAATAAATAGTCTTATTTATTTATTTATTTGCTTATTTATTTAAAAGGCATAGTTCTAGAGGGAAAGAAGGAGAGACAAAAAGATTTCCCATCTATTAGTTTATTCCTCAAATGTCTGCAACAGTCAGGGCTGGGCCAGGCCAAAGCTAGGAGCCGAGAGTTTTTTCCAGTCTCCCATGTGGGTGCAGGGGCCCAAGAAGTTGGGCTATTTTCTGTTGTCTCCTTAGGCACATTAGCAGGGAACTGGATCAGAAGTGGGGAAGCCCAGCCTTGAACCAATGCCCATATGGGATGCTGATGCTACAGCAGTAGCTTAACATGGTGCGCCACAATGCTAGCCCCCCAATAGTCTGCAATCAGTCTTGAGCACATATGCACAGCTTCCCTGCCCCTAACAGCGATCTCTCAGGGCTAGCCCTGCCTCCGAAGCACTGTTCATTATTTAATGTCATCCGCTCCCCAGGACAGCCTTCTGTGTTTCCATTCATGACAGACTGTCCTCCCCCTATCGAGATCCAACACTATTTCATTTTAGTTTTCCAAACCTCTTCAGATTTAAACTCATCTCTGCTGATTTGATTTTTGCAACATATATTTTGATCTTCACACAGGTCAAGAAGATCATGAACCAGGTATTCCAGTCTTTGCGGGGAGAGTTTGAGCTGGAGGAATCTTACGATGGCAGGACCATCTTGGGGACCATCATGAATACGATTAAGGTAGAGCTAGCCGGCTCTCAGTTACTGCTTTACAATGGGTGTTCTGTTGTTTAAGTACCTTCTGAGGGAGTGACTTGTGTGAGACGGGCAGAAGCAGTCATTTGAAGGAACTGACCCACAGTTATGCAGATACCTGAGGAACCGGGAATGCCGGCGCTGTTCCTCTCAGTGATCCTCTCCTCCTTGGCTTTTGGACAGATGGTGACACTTCAGCTGCTAAATGAACAAGAGCAAGAGAAGGAGGAGAGCAGCAGTGAAGAAGAACAGGAGCTGCCACCTCCGGGACTCTGCCAGGAGCAGTTGGGCTTACCCAGTTCTGCGCCGTCTCCAGCACCACCGCACAGGGAGAGGCCGGAGTCCCCCAGGGGGCCGTCAGAGCAGGTGCAGCAGGAGGCTGACTCGTTGCTGCCTCAGGACTCCCCCACTGCCCAGAATGATGGACAGGAATGGAAAGGGGAGATCTCAGAGGTGAAAGATGGCTCCCCTGCTCCTGAACAGTCCTGCGTCCCATCCCACAGAGTCCCTGGGCCTCCAACTTCTATTCCACCTCAGCCTCCAAGTCACGTGATTATGGACTGTGAAAGTGAGGGGACCCCAGCCGCCAGCCCTGTGGCAGCAAAACCTGAGAGCTCGCTGGGAAAAGTCCACACTGGGGAAGTAACCTCAGATGGCCCATTGTCAGACAGCCCCACGAGATTACCCCTGACAACCGACCCCAAAATGGCAGACCCACTGACCTCAGGATCTGAAAGCGCAGAAGGCAGGCCGCAGCCTCCAGGTTCCAGTGAAGGAGAGGATGTTTCCATCTGTACTGGTTCCTCAGAGGAGCCGACAAGCACAGAGGCAGGTTCTGCAGGTGCAGCCCTCGGGCCCAGCCCTTGTTCTCGGCATTCCAGGTATGTTCCTCTGAGCACAACAGCTCCAGTACCAGGGCAGCTTCAAGTGGAAGTTGTCTTGGTTATTCCCAGGGCTGCCACCTTACCCTTCGGTGTATTTAGTTAGTTATGCCTACTATTATGAGGCTCTGTGGTAAGAAAGGTGGATTTGGTTCTTGAATTTGGCGAGCTTATGTTCTGGTGGTGTTTATATATTACAAAAGTGTAAGTGCCCAAAATATCAGGGTGGTCTGATGGAGAGTAGAGGGAGGTGCTCTAAAGAGCTGGTCATGGGAAGGTTCTGAAATTGACACCCAAAGCTAGAGAGGAGCCTTCCATACCAAGAGTAGGAAGAAGAGGTTGCAGAAGGAGAATAACACATGGTAAAGGACCCCCTGGGAGGGGCATGACACAGCCAGTGAGCCGAAAGAAGACACTGTGAGTAGGAGAGACATGGTGGTAAGCTGAGGCGGGAAAACTAAGCAGGGGCAAGTATCATGAGATTTTCTGTTGCTCTTACAAGTTTGGATTTCAAGATCAGTGAGATCTATAAAAGGAATTTAGACAGAAAGAGTAATCGTGGTCTGGTTTGTTAGCTTTTTTTTAAAAGATTTATTTATTGGGCCTGGCGGTGTACCCTCGTGGCTTAAGTGCTCACCTTGCACGTGCCAGGATCTCATATGGGCACTGGTTCTAATCCCTGCGGCCCCACTTCCCATCCAGCTCCCTGCTTGTGGCCTGGGAAAGCAGTGGAGGACAGCCCAAAGCCTTGGAACCCTGTACCCACGTGGGAGACCCAAAAGAAGCTCCAGGCGCCTGGCTTCAGATTGGCACAGCTCCAGCTGTTGCGGCCGCTTGGGGAGTGAATCATCGGATGGAGAATCTTCCTCTCTGTATCTCCTCTCTGTATATCTGAGTTTATAATAAAAATTTTTTTATTTATTTGAAAGGCAGGATTAGAGTGGCAGATGGGAGGACTGGGGAGAGGGAGAGAGGAAGGAAGATCTTCCATCCAATGGTTCACTTTCTAAATGACTGCAGTGCCTGGGACTGGTCCAGTCTGAAGCCAGGTGCTTGAATTCCATCTGGGTCTTCCATGTGGCTAGTGAGTACTGCGTACTCCAGACGTTTTTGGCTGCTTTCTTATGTGCATTAGCAGGGGGCTGGGTTGGAAGAGGAGCTGCAAGACTCAAAGCAGTGTTTATATGGGATGTTCATGTTGCGGGTGGTGGCTTAAGCCAATGTGCCACAAATGGCAGCCCCTGTTTTACTGCTTTAAAAGCTTGTCCTAGCTGTAGATTGTGAAGGTTCCCGCCTGCATCAGGAAGCCAGCACAGGGTACAGAAGGAAGAAATTCCTTGGTGACCACTGTAGCTGTGGGATTTTTCCCCCTGTGGCCCAGCGGCCCTCACAGCTGGTCGGCACAGCTGGCCTGGAGCAGTAACAACAGCACTGTCCCTGACTTCATTTTCCTTCAGCCTCTCTGGGGATGAAGAGGATGAACTGTTTAAAGGAGCAACTCTGAAAGTTGCGAGACCTAAAGCACAGCCTGAAGAGGAGGATGAAGATGAGGTGGTAAGGAAATCCCAGACACTGCCAAGTCGCCACACCACCACCTGGGGGCCTTTTTCCACAGGTTCTCAGAAGAGAGATGGAGTATGTTGGTGGCCTACTCCCTGGACTCTATGTGCAGGGACCTGTGGGACCAGGCTACAGGCTGGGAAGAGGCCACTCTGTAAGCAGGGTGGGGATGGTCAGATACCACTGTACTCTTGAAAAAGAAATATCTCTACCCGCAAAAGAATTATTCCTCCATGAAATAAGGCAGGTTGGGCTGCCAAGCCCTGCCTTGGTCTAGCAAAGTTCCCATTTCAGATTAGTTAGGATATTTATAACTGAGAACTGGAAAGGACTTTGTAGGTCCTCTTGTCTGGCATCCATATTCATAGACAAAAAAGACAAAGGCACAAAAGCAGGATTTACCTAATCCCCAGAGGGGGCTCCCAGCCGAGCTAGTGCTAATCCAGGTTCCTGTTAAGACCCCTCTGTGCATTCTCTGCTTGCTCAGCCTGCTTTCCACCTGCTGTCCTGTTTTGTTATCACTATGCCCGTGGCTTAGCCTTGCCTTACAGAACACTACAGAAGAGGCCGGGAAAGGAAATTGCTGATAGAGCCTGGCTTGGATCTACCATCCCACTGTGCTCAGTTGGGAAATTTCTGGCTATCCCTAGGCAGTTTTGACTGCCGCAGTGGGAATTGGCTGTGAAATGTGTGGAGAATACAGATGAGCTTCAGGCTCAGCTCATTCTGGGGACAGAAGGATGGATCTGAGGCTGAACGAGAGCCGATTCCATCCCCTCAGGTGGGTTTTACCTTTGGCAGAGGCCTTGAGAGGCCGCCTGTGACCTGGGATTCAGCTTGCATGTCCCAGAGCCTCTCCCTCTGCCTGCAGGCCATTGGGAATTAAATTTTCATTTGGGAATTCTGAATAGATTCTGCACGAAAAACAAGCGAACACAAACAGTGACTGACTATCCCAAATGATTGTCCTGAATATAACTGGAACTTGGAAGCTTGTTGTATATTTTTGGTATTAACACTGCTACTGCCGACTAAACGTATTTCTTAGGCACCCTGAAGATGACTTCACATTCTCCTTTAATCCTCTCTTAGTCCACTGAGGTAGACACTTTTAATCTTAGGGGATAAATAGGACTGAGCTCAGGAAGAATAATGGAACTAAGGAGATCCAGCTGGTAAATGTCCAGTCAGAGCTTTAACTAGGACAGAGCAATAGCTGCAAGCCACACTTGGAAATCCCATCATGTCAGAGTTTAGAGATCACATAGGTGACACCAGAGAAAAATTGAAGTTCTGCTCAGTGAGTCATGGCGGTGAGATTAGCCCCAGACCTCTGCACACACCATGATGCCTTCCCGGTGGCCTGGCCTCAGGAGGCTGTGGCTCACAGCGCAGATCAGACCCAAAGAGAGCCCCTACCTGTTTCTAGTTTCACTGCTGCTAGCCCCATGATACCTGTTCCCCCTCCAGTCCGGAAGAAAAAGGCCAGGAGCTCATCAGGAGAATACAGGAAGACTCCCAAATCCTCCTACTTGGTAAGAATGGGAGAGGGGGTCATTGAGAACAGGAGCGTGAGAACCTGGAGCCCCATGTTCCTGGGCCTTCTTCATCGCTTGCAGTTCTCCACTTGGGGATGTAGCCCAGCTTCTATGTTTAGCTCAGCTGTCTCAAACGATGAGGTCACATCCAAAGCCACTCTAGGCCATGGCAGAGTTTTTCAGCGCGATTGTGTCCTTCCCAACCTCCTTCATGCTCCCGCACCCTCTCTCGGACCACTCTAGTTTGGTTTCTCCTGCTCTCATTTCTCCTTTTTGGCCCTTCTTTCCCACCTATGTATGTTACCACATGAGAATACCTTTCAGATCAATATCCATGCTTCACAAATAAATGACACAATTAGCCAAAGTTGGTCTTTTGTCTCTGTTAAAAGATGGCCTGCCTTTTCCGCACTCTTGTCTCTGTTTTACCTGGAAGCCTAGCTTTGCTGGCCTCAGGACAGTCCTTTCAGTACAACCTCCTCTCCAAGCCGGAACGGCAAACTGACAGACATGGGGTCCTTCACCTCTCAGGCAGAAAGCCCAGCTGGTGCAGGGACAAGCGAGGCTGACTCCTCTTTCCTGTTTTGTCAGAGCATGAAGGGACGCCCACCCCCAACACCTCTTTTTGGAGATGACGATGATGACGATGACATTGACTGGTTGGGATGAAGACCCAGAAAACATGCAGATGTTTCTCTACGGACCCTTCCCCAAGCATGATTTTGCACAGCCATCCTTGGGTGTAGGTGAACCACAGGGTGAGGTTAAGGTGAGCATTCGGAGGACAATAGTTAAAGTAAAGGATCTGAGCAGCCATGTTTCAAGCCCCTGCCTGACCCTGTGAAGAGCAGCAGCAGGACCCTGTCTTCAGAAGCAGCATTTCCTGTGGCCCATGGTGGCTCTACCTCTGAGGCCGCACTGGAGAAGGGCTCAGAGGTAGAGCCCCAACAAGCCAATCTACTGCAGGAGTCCTGCCCTCTTCCAAGCTTTGTCTGTGTGTGTGTGTCTTCTTCAATGGTTTTCAGTTGGCCTGAGAACCCTCCTCCATCCACATCCAGGGCTCAGCTGTGTCCCAGCAGCAAGATCTGTCACCTGGGGCACATTTTCTTGGGGACAACCACGAAGATATTATCTCAGCCCCTGTTAACATGTTTGTTTCTAGTCCTGGAATGTGTTATCTTTTCCTTTGCCTTAAATCTGATACAAGAGGTCAGTGCATATTTGAGACTAATAAAACTAAAATACACATCTCTTGTAAAACTTGACTTGAGCCCTTGGGGTTTAGTTCCTTGGTTCTATGGGTTTTCTGTTGTCCTCTTTGGGAATCTCGGGGTGGGAACTGCAACTGATTGGGATCAGTTAGCAGGCACAAAAACACTGTGGTATGTCCTTTGATACCTACCCTGGAACTTTCCGGCTTTCAAAGAGTCACTTTCTGTGCCCTCTAGGCTAGAAAGCCATACAGAGAAGGTGGAAGAGTCTCTACTTCTCTCAAGCAGGGAGCCCCAGTCCCTCAGAACTCAGAGAGCCGTGACTAATGCAGAGAATATCAGTGAGAAAATAATCTGGAGAAGTTTTATTTACTCAAAAATCCTTCAGAGACCCTGCATGCATCTAGTCTTCAAAAGGTAGACTAACGTTAGCTAAAATGCTCTCCAATTGTAAATGTTTATAAAGTAGGATGGAGTGGGCACTGAGGTCACAGGGTGAAGCTGCCACTTGGGATGCATGCATTTCACATCGGGTACCTGCGACCAAATTTCACCTCCACTTCCAACCCAGCTTCCTGGTAATGTAGATAGATGATGACATAGGTAGTTGGGTCCATGTTATGCAACTGGGAGATTTGCATGGAATTCTTTGTTTCTGGCTTTGGTCTTGTGCAGGTATTTGGGGAATGAACCAGTGGATGAAAATGCACTTTTTCTCTCTTTCATTAAAATAACTAAGAATAACTAACTGGAGAAGAAGAACTTGAATTCTACTCTATCCAGCCTGACATCATCTCTGCAGGCTTTTTGCCTGCCTCCCATATGTGGGCCTGGGAGGCAGACAAAACTACCAATTACTAAGCTTGTCATGTAATAAAAAGGCACTGCTGCCTGGCACTTTACACAAACTGTCCCATCTCCAGCCAGCACTGCAGAAGACCCTGAGCCTGGAGAGCTAAAATGACTTGTCCAATGTCATACAGCTGGGAAGCAGCAGGACAGGAGTTCATTTCGTAGCCATCTGCTTCCAGACCCTGGACTCTTGCCTACCACCCTTGCCAGATTGCTACTGGGTTAGCAGAAAGAATGGTGATGTTTCTCAGAAATATAAGTTCCTGCAGTCCACTTCGGATCTTCTGCTACAGAATCTTTGCTTAAAGCTCTCTCGGCTAGAAAAGCCTCAAATACATCACACTTCAAGAGAACATATGAGGCCAAGGGGGTGAGTGCGTATCCATGCCAGCGATGTTCAGAGAAGGCAGGAGCACCAGCTGGGCAGGGTTTAAAGATGGGCTGAAAAAGCCCTACCAGCACAAGTGCACCGAATGTCTGACATCTGACACTGTTGAGACGCTGGACTGGCCAATGCCCTGCACTCACTCCTGAGGAAAGTGCACGGAGCAATTCTAGTGGCATCACACTCTCCACTCTGTGACAGTTACTTCTTCCTGTACATGAACAAGTAAGTTGTGGTCATGATGTTGCTTCTGCCTCCTGGAGACAAGGTGCTAAGAATCATGCCCACATGGGTGTTGACAGTCTGGGTGAAGAAAAGCAGCCGCTTTTCTTAAGAGCAGGGACCAACTGATGCTCATTACCTGAATGAGAGAATGGCTGTCAGTGCTAGGCTGGCCAGCTGTGGGCACAGTGTTTCAGGGCTCGGTGTCCTTGGGCACATAGCTGTCACCATTATGGCAGATGAACACCCTCAGACCTGAGTGAGCACTGTCAGCTGCCTCACCAGCTCAGCTCCTACAGTTGTTTAAGAGTTACATTACTTCATGTTGGAATGAGGAAAAACACAAGATCAGTCAGAGACTGTACAAATATATATTTATTAAAATGGATCTGTTTATAATCCCCAAAGCTGAAGACCATCTATACTGTAGCCCATGAGGTACTTGAGCTTGGACTTGACACTCTAGAGCAGTGATTTTCCTCCCCCTTGGGTCACCTTGCTTTGCTGTGAAGTGAAGAGGTTCAGAGTCATCCACCTCATTATAAACAGTCCTGGATTTGGTTTCACTGCTTATTGCAGCTTCCATTGAGACACCCTAAAGTTTACTCAGTATTTAAGAGACCAAATCCTGCTTCCCAACCAAATTGTCTAGAGTAAGCAGTAAGAAATAAAAAAACATTAAGTGCTGGGTATTATGAAATGCAGTTCTCTGTTCTGTATAAGGGAGATGTTAGATCCTAAAGAGCTTCCCAGACCCGTGGCCATCAGACTCTTCCTCCTGCGGGCACTGTTGTCTGATGCCAGGAGCCTTGATAACAGCCCTGCATCTCTGCTTTCAGTCAGCTGCCACTGATCCCCCACTGCCGCCCTCGAAGGTTTCAGCAGATGCTATTGTCCATCAAGAACAAAATAAAATAATTTCTTTAAAAGTTTTATATGTCTGTGCAAAATTGCTAGCCAGAAATTCAATGGGAAGATGACAAATCTTGGTTTGTCAGCATGGGCCACAGAAGAGACAAGCTTCATGTGTTCTGAAGGCAGAAAAGTGAGAAAAAGGAGCTGGCTTGGTTTCTGTCCCCTAATGACAGAAGAAGAAAGTCCAGTGGAAGACGTTCCTGTAGATAAGGCACAAAGCAGGAGGAGACGGTCTGCAGGTGTCAGGCCCTGCACCCAGAACCCATCTCCTGCTTTCAAGATCTTTGGAAATGCTAGTCTTAAGTCACACAGCTGCACAATCATTGATTCAACAGCCCTTCCCTGGGGTTCTGTTTTCTCCATTCTCCCTGTGGTCACAGCAGCCTTTCTAAGGCACAAGATGAGGCCTGAGCCCGTGCAGGCTGTCAGGAGGGAGATACATGTAGTGGCTAGGGAGCAAGTGCAGCTGTAGCTTTGTTTCCAAGAGCTGAGAACAAGGTAAGGAGCAGCGACCAGAAGAAGAGGGGAACCTCAGCTCCTTCCAGTGCTTAGTGCTCGTCCATCTCTTGCCAGTTATACCATGCCGAGAAGCGGGTAGGCGATGTAATAGCCCACAGCGGAGCCCAGCACCACGCCAAGGAAGATCCAAGTGTTATAGGACATGACTGCCAGCATCATGAAGTAGCCAATGACCACCTGAATGATATGGACTAGAGACTGGCCAAAGTGGCACAAAAACCACCTAGAGGAAAAGGAGAACCAAGTTAATGCCGGTAATAAGTTGAGTATGGGGAGTTGATTCCAGACAGTAGAAAGACACTGAGTTACATGGTTCTATATAACTTAGATGGTTAACCCCAGAGAGATTTTTTTTTCTTGTAAAAAGACATATCTCTATCACCATTAACCCTGAGCTTCCTGGAATCCCGGGAAAAAGGGAAAATGACATTGGGGTAAGAGGCAGATGTAACCCTGCATCTGCTGCAGGAAACTACCTGATCATGGAGGTGGACTTTGGCATCAGATCAGTTCCTAGCTCTGTCACTGGCTAAATGCCCAGAACCAATGTGTGAACTACTCTGAACTGCAGTGTCTTCAGCAGACCTGGAGTAAGTGCAACTCATTGGGGCATTCTAAAGATGTAAGATTCCCTTGGACAGTGGCTGGTGACAGCAGACACACTCATTAGGCAGATGGGAGACTGCAGGGGGAGAGGGCAGAATAGAGACTAGTAACCTGCTCAGAGTGGGAAGGGAGGCAAAGGGAAAAGAGGGGGACTCCTTCCCTCGCCACGTGGGCTACACTGTTGGCAGCACTCCCTAGGGAAGCCTGGTGAGACTCGGGGAGTACTGGGTGACCATCCTGTGCCTGGTTAGGCTTCTAGCAGTCCTGAAGATCACAGAGCCTGTTGCTATCCTGAGTTCCCAAGAGGAGGTTCCAGGCACCAGGAGATTGTGGCTCAGGGTCATCTTAATAACTAACTGCTCCATAATTCCTTGTCCTTTCCATTTCCTTTCTGAAATGAGGTTGCTGCTCTCTGTGGCCCACCTACCTCTCAGGGTTAACCTGAGGCCCCTGCCCATAACCCACACATGGCGTCCATACCTGAGGCGAGTTCTGCCAGCTGGAGGTACATCTGAGCTCGCTGAATCCCGGTCTGTCTCCAGGATGAGCTGCTGGTTGAGAGGGGTAGACAGGCTCGCCAGTGCCTGGTAGAGCAGCTTGGCTTTGCCAACCTTTATGCCTTCATACAAGATGGCCAGGAGCAGGACTACCAACACCGAGAGGGCCATGCCTGTCAAAAGAGGCTGAGCTGGAGAGACCAGGCAGGGGAACAGCTGCTGCCCTGGGACCTGACCCAGGTGACGGGAACACTGCCATCTAGTGCTTCCCAATCCACTCTGTCCATCTCTCCTTCATGCTCGCTGAGCATAGCTTCTTCCCTGTCTCTCCCATTCCAGGAGCCTTTCTAGGTAGGGTTGGCTAAATGTGTGTGGCTTTCAGATCAGCAGAAGTTACCTGGAGAACCCAAGGGTGAAGAGACAAAGAAGTGACGATACCTTGGCCCCAGCCACTCGTCTCAAGGGACGAGTAGGCCCATCCAGGTCCTGTTTATGTGCAGGTATAACAGGTGCACCCAGGTCCTGTTTACATGTAGTATGGAAAACAGCCAGGAAGAAGGGCATGCTACCAGGGAGTAACAGTTCCCATAGCCAAGTACAACACAAGTGGTTTTTATTTTCTTACTGACATCCTAACATTTCTAATCTGAGACTACAAGAGGTCTTCAAAGCGTTCATGGAAAATGCACATTATGAGAAGACTTGCATGGATTTCAAAATCGTGGACACTGACAACAATAAGCTCATCTTTGAACCCCATTTTCCACGAATGTTCTCAAGAATCCCTGTATTACTTTTAATAAAGGCGGAAAGGCCAGTAAGTTATTTTGCAGAAAACATTGTGTTCTAGAGCCACTGAATACAATTAACCACCGATATAACACCTGTTTTACAAGTAGAGGGATAATAAATGGTTTAGCTAAAGCATGTCATCAGATTCTGTGACACAGTAAGAAATATGTCCCTAGTCTCTTTCCTAGGGTTCTTGGCACTCAGCTTCTGAAACCCTCCCAAACTGCCAAGTGCTGACTTATATGCTAATGAGATAGCTGGGGGCTCCAGGGGAAGCAGCCATGTGATCAGAGCGGTGGAACTGGCAGCTCCATCCCAAAGGAAGGGGTAGGAGAACTTCCAGGTAGCGATGTATGCAAGTACTTAGAGGGTGGCGTACCAAGAGAGGGCACAGAAGAACAACATCCCTTCTCACACACCTAGCCCTGTGCAGCTCCTCCAGCTGGTTGTTCATCCATATATCCTTTATAATGAGCAAGAAAAGTGTCTCCCTGTGTTCCTGCAAATAACTTCAAAGAGGGTTCATGTGAACCCCAATTTATAGCCATTAACTTGGTCAAAAGTACAGCAGCCAACTCCAGGACTTGTGATTGGTGTCTGAAATGACTAGCCAAGAGTGGGCAAGCAGTCTTGCAGGACTTTGTACTTAACCTGTGGGTTCTGAAACTAGGGATAATAAAATATCCCCCTTCCCAGGCTTAACAGCAAGCTGCTCTTAGCTGCCTAACACACTAACAGCCCAGACCAGTCAGTCACCTGCTTATTGTGTAGGTGTATATTACCCCATAATAGTTGTCTTTCTTACGGCTCCACTAAAGTTGCTTAAGGGTCAGTGACCCTTAAAAAGGGTCCCTTAAGAAGGGTTAGGCAGGTTAAGCTGCTGCCTGAGGTGCTAGCATCCCATATGGGCACTAATTCAAGTCTCGGCTGATTCACTTATGACTCAGCTCCCTGCAAATATGCCCGGGAAGCAGCATAAAAAGGCCCAAATCCTTCAGCCCCCTACACTGGTGAGACCCGGATGAGTTCCAGGCTCCTGGATCCAGCCTGGTACAGCCTTGGCTGTTGTGGCCATTTGGGGAGTAAACCAGAAAATGCAAGATTTCTTTCTCTCTATCCTTCTCTCTGTGTTAACTCTGCCTTTCAAATAAATCATAAAAAAGAAGTAAAGCATGTGACTTCCAAGGCTAGGTCTTAAGTTTTCTATGAGCTATGTTTTAGTTCATTCTCTTGGGACACTCATTCTTGGAAACTAGCTACCCTACCACAAGGAAACCCAGGTCTTAGGAGCCTCTACATGTAGAAGTTCAACCAACAACTCCAGCTGAAGTCCAACCTAACAATAAGCATCAACCACTAGACATAACCATAAGTCTTTAAAACAAAGAGGTCCAGCTACTGCCCAATGACCGTATCTGCTGAGGCCTCTAGGGAGGGCTACTAAGCTAAGCCCAGTCAAGTCACAGAACCTTGAGAATAACAAAACAATTGTTTTAATTCACTATTGGTCAGCATTAGGTAACCAGAATGGGAACTGCAGTGTAGAGACAACCATAAGTTACTGGATCTATACTTACACCAATGGTTATTTATTTATTTTTAAGGATTTATTTGGTTTTACTTTGAAGGCAGACTTTACAGAAAGGAGAAGCAGGGAAGTCTTCCATCTACTGCTTCTCTCTCCAAATGGCCACAGTGGCCAGAACTGAGCCGATCTAAGGCAGGGGAGCCAGGAACTTCTTCCAGTTCTGCAACATGGGTGCAGGGGCCCAAGGACTTGGACGTAGCAGGCTAATCTGTCTGTAGAGTTAGCATCTCTACTTGTGGTCCAGCTCCTTGCTTATGGCCTGGAAATAGGCAGAGGATGACTCAGGTCCTTGGGCCCCTACACTCAGGCGAGAGACCTAGAAGAAGCTCCTGGCCTCCAGCTATGGATCAGCTTATCTCTGACCATTGTGACCATTAAGAGATTGCACCAGCAAATGGAAAACTTCTGTCCCTCCTCTCTCTAATTCTTTCAACTAAGATAAATAAATCTTTTTTAAAAAGTTATTAAAGGTGAAAAAAATGACCAGCTGAGTTCATGTCAAGCTCTGCCTTTTTCAAATCAAAGCAATATTCTTCCCTTTCAAACTGGTTTCTCATCTGAGGGCCAAGGCTACAGCTGCAGCTACAGAGGACTTCTGAGCTGGGCCTGACAAAGCACCTGGATGAAGGAGATACCAGGAGATGCCAAGTGACCTTGATCTAGTTGAGGCTCTGAAGCTTCCTTATTACACAACCCTACACATGCGTCTTCCAGTCTCCAGACTTCAGTTCCTTCCCCTGCAATAGAAGGGAACACTCCCTTGGCGAGGACCACTGTGAGAAGCTGGTCCTTTGCAATCTGCAAGGTCGTGATTGCAAAGGGAGTTACAAAGGCCAAGTTCTTGCCTGAGGAGTCACCAACAGATAAGGAAAATCCAAGTTCTCCACTGCCTGGTGGCAGCAGGAGGCCCAATCTACAAGTCTCCCAATTCTTACCTGCAGGACTGTGAACATTCCAGAAATCGAAGAGCAGCACCACCTCCTGTGAGAAGGTGAAATGCATCTGCAAGACAAGGGAACCTGTATCATAGGGGGCTGGGACAGTGGGTGTGGTGGGCCCCTCCTCTGGATGTCCACAAAATGGGATCCTAGAACTGAGAAGACCATTAAAGGGCCATCCAGGAGCACACGGAGCAGGGACTGGTCTAAGCATGTGGGCAAGAGAGCTATCACTGAGCTGGCCCTTTCCCTGTGGAAGTGAGGGTGGGAACCAAGTGAGGGTGGGCAGTGCCCATCCTCACAGGGTCAGCCAGATTCGAGATGCTGCAGTACACGCAGGCCAAGGGTGCATGTCTCTTTTATGCCTTTTAAACCCAATGGAGAAGCGCTAAGCCAAGGACTCCCTGCCCCATCATATCCCCCAGGCCCTCTGCTTCAAACCAGGAGAGGATCCCAAGGGAAACAAAGCAAGGGGAGCACAGAGTCCTCTCTCCATCCTGGCTTGTCCCAATCTGAAATTCACATCGATCACTCCCTCACTAAGCATTGCTGGGCCCCATTCTGTCCCCAGCACTTCAGAGGAAGGTCTCTGTCCTTGATGAGCTGGCAGCCTTACAGGAAACAGCAAAGCGGAAAGCAATAGCTATACACTGCCTGCCTGAATCCCATCCTGGTCCACCTTGCACTCAAGGCGAAGGCATCCAAGGTGTGTAAGACAATGTTTTATTTCAGGATCACAACAGTCCTCTGTATGACAGGAAAGACAACGGTGGAGACTAGGCTAAGAGAAGGGAAGAGTTTGCTGGAGGTTACAAAGCCACGAAGTCAGTCTAGCTAGGTTTCAGACCCTGTGCCTTCCTGGACACTGTGAGCTTCCCACTCTCCAAGAAAGCAGAATCATAAAAGCTGGATGGCGATATTTTTTTTTTACAAAAAAAGTTTGTTTATTTTTATTTAAAAGGCACAAACACAGAGGGGTAGAGAAATCTTCCATCCACTGGTTCACTCCCCAGATGCCTACAACAGCTAGGGATGGTTCAGGTGGAAGCCGGGAGCCTGGAACTCAAGGTCTTGAGCCCTGACCGGTTACCCCCTAGGGTGCACATTAGCAAGAAGCTGGAACCAGGAGTAGAGGCAGGGCTCCAACCCAGGCACTCCAATATGGGATGCAGGTGATGCTTGCTGGGCTGTGTGGGGAACCTAAACTCTTGGAAGGCAGGGTCACAGCCTTGTCTGTAGATGTGCTGACCTTCAGTGGGCAGACAAAAGCCCTAAAGCACAGGCCATCCACACGGCAGCCGTCCCTCGCCTCATCATCTAGGACTGGGGGAGGCAGTAAGAATGGAAGATTGATGTGGAGATACAGGATGAAATGCCTCAGTCTCCCTCTAGCAGAGATTGAAAAAACACAGCAAAGTCATCCACACTATGGGAGACCCAGGGAGGGCTCAAAACCTACACTGCCCTCAAAGCTGGAAGGGTATGTCTCAGTAGCATCTGGCAGGAGAGCCACACCTTGTCTGCCGAGGGCACATTTAGGGCAACCTCATATCTGGGGAGGAAATGACATTGAGTATTTCATGCCAGGTGCTATTCCAAAAACATGGTATGTCTCAATTATATAAGGTGGTTATGAGGATATTTCAAAAATGCTCATGGAAAATGGAATTAAAAGGTAAGCTTATGTTGGACCAAACATTTTGAAATCCAGGTGTAGTTTTTTCATGGGGAGAGGAAATGGAAAGTATGAGGGAAAAAAGTGTGTGTAATTTGCATAACCATGCTTAGACCTTTCCAAGGATGTCCAACCGGTGCCTTGGCTGGTGTCTCCAAGAAAAACAGCAAGCTCACATTAAATAAACAAAGAAGACAGACAAGAAGCAATATGAAGACTGGGAAGGAAGGCCAGAGTCCGGGAGACTACATCCGGAGAGCAGGATGAAGATGGACAGCAGCAGAAGAGGGAGGGAAGGACACTTGAGCAGACACAGGTGTGGGTGTGCCTATGCGTGGATTACATGAGCAGTGTAAGCTCCAGACTGATCGCAAGGCAGAGTGGAGCATGGCCAGGCCTGGGAGAAACCGGCTCCCTGGGAACCTTGTGCTGGCAAGCAACTTAGTAAAGGACTGCAGCGCCTCCTTGGATCTGTGGGGGGTCTGATTAAAAATGCAGATGCCTGGGCCTTCTCAGGGCCCTAACCCAGAAACCAAGGGCAGCACCCAGGAGGCAGGGGAGACTCAAGACGCTAATAAGCTCCCCTTTGCAGAATTCTGATGCTCTTTCAGTTTGTTACAGTCTGAACACAGCTGGCCATACCTACCAGGTAAGGACACAGAATCCAAAGGGGAAGCCTGGTTCTACCTCCCAGCTCCTCCCAGCACTGGGAAGCATCAGTGTGCCCCAGAGCTGCTGACACACAGCAACCCGCCTCTGGGTCTCAGGCTCCTGGCTGGTAGAATGGGGGTGGGGCTTCAGGAAAACCTCAGCTTCCCTTTCCCAGGCACCCATTAACTCAGCACAGATCTCATCTTCAGCTCTAAACTGAATCCTGAGTCCTCATAATAGGGAAAAAAAATGAGTGTGCCTCTGTGTTTCAGGGCTGGGTTGGGAACCATACCCATACACCTGCTACATCCTCGAGTTTCCAACTTGGACCCTGCACTTCTAGGTTTGGTGTAGACCTGGCTATTCGGCTCAGCAAACATGCCTCTTCCACCCAAAAGGGGTCTGGCCTGTGTCACCAACCCCTCCCTGCCTGTGCCCATGCTGGAGTTGCTAGATTTGTAGAACAGAAAAAGCCATGTGACACCAGCTGACAGAGCAGAACAGCTGAGCGGCCAGTGTTGGCTGGCAACCCGCATGTGCATGCACTGTGCTTACCTTCCAGCCTTGTTAAAAACAATTTGTCAGGAAGAGAGATCTCCCCGACCTGATGCTTCATTCTCCCAATAGCTTCTGGAACACACACCCTGGGAGGCAGGGGAAGCCCCAAGGGAGTCCCAGGCTGCTGGCTTCCACCTGGCCCAGCCCTGGCAGTTACAGGCATTTGTGGACTGAACTAGCAGATGCACTGTCTGTGTGTCTCTGTTGCTTTGCCTTTCAAATAAACAAACTTTGTTTTAAAACTCATGTTGAAGAGTTTCTAAATGCTTATCCCCTTTGTAGGAACTTGTTCAACAGAAAAAACTGAGACAACACCAACAAACAGGTAAAAGTTATGATTCTTAACTCCAGAAATCTCTCCTGTTAGGATTTTTAAAAGAATACTTATTGACATCACAAAATTATTAATATGCAAAAGCAAGCAGATCCTGAGAATCACATGGAATTGATTATACTGGAATTGGACTCAATTTGAGCAGAAGCCGCTGGCTCCACCTCTGCCAGGTGGGGGCCAGAACTGTGCCCATCACTCCTTCTCTGAGTCCAGCTGGTGAGGCAGTTGGCATGAATGGAATGTCTTCCGGTGGCTAATTAATCACTCGGGGAGTTTCCATAACTGGTTCTCTGCTATCATCCCTAGGCCTAGGCCAACCCATACACCTACCTGCTGTGGATCTGAATGCCCACAGAAGAGTCAAACTGATTCAGACAGCCAGCGCAGAGCCCAGAGATACAGAGACGAACAGAAAAAAGCCCTGAGCCAGTGTAGAGCTGACCACAGGGAGGACAAGAGAGATGGCCAGGCATTAACACAGCTGTCTGCAGAGAGCTAGGCCACCTGGGGGCTGCCTGCTGGGTGCTCAGCCACCTGACCTAGCCCAGGGGAGCAGGAAGCAGCTGGGAAAGACAGCCTGGAGAGTGTGCTTGGAGAGAGAAGTGGCCACATTATGCAGCTGGTACTCCTTGCCAGGCAAAGACCCACCTGTCAACTTGGCCTTTCCTACCTCTTTGCTAGAGGAAAAGATTCAAATCAGCGACTTGCAGGGAGGGAATTCTGGACTGCCATTTCCAAGTACACAACGTTGTGTGGTCAAACCGGGGAGGCACAGAGGCCCAGTCTTGTTGTCTACTGGCATTGGACAAATCTCTGGCTCCAGTCATTTATCTGTGCCTCCTCCCGAGCCACACCCTGGGTGGAGAGGACCTTGTTTTGCTCTAGATTTTCTCTCTTGGGGTTTCTCTCATTTTAAAACCAAAGATCGCAGGAGATTAGAGTCCCAACACCACGTCTGACTGACTGGCAACTTTGTCAAGGGCTCCCATCTAGTTCTCCTTTTACAACAGCCACAGGAAGCCGGAGGCCGGAGGCCCTCTCACTAAATGACTTCTACATATGAGCTTCTTGATTCTGAAATTCCACCATATTCTTCATGGGAAAATTTAAAAAAAAACAGCTCCCACTTCCTCAAAGACCAGGCGTGCAAGCTGTCACCTTCTCCTGCCCACGGGAGCCCGAGGCAAGAAAACCAGCTCATTGTAAAAAGGTTATTTTCCGACCCAAAGGGCAGGGAAGATGGGCAACAGCTGGGACTTAACGCCCTGAAGAGTAAGATTGGGAACTCGCCAAAGGCAGGGCCCCGGCTGGCGCGTGCGGGCTGGAGTGCATTGAGTTTTCTCCTTCGTGGGAGTCCTCCGGGAATGTCCCCCAGATGACTGCCCTGCCGCCCTCGCCGCCGTCCAGGGCTCCCCGAGCCGCCTTCACCCACGCGCCCGCGCCCTCTTGCCGACCACGCTCCGTGACAGCTCTTCCTGCAGGACTGACTCCCAGCAGGAGGGACAGAGACGCCTAACCATACCGCTCCTGCTGCGTCCCTCCACCTGATGCAGCTGTCCGGGTGCCCCCTACACAAAGCCAGCCACCCTCACCAGCTCTCGGCCGGAGCGGCGAGGATCTCGGGGTGCCCTGGGCGCCCATTCCAAGGGGATCCCGCCCCCGGCGACCACCCCGCATGGCCCTCCGGCACTCACCGCCATGGCAAGAGCGCAAGGCGAATGCCGGGAGTTGACTCCGTTCTCTCGGGTTTCTGTGCGAATCAGTCCCGCCGCCGTCGCAGGAGCGATCGAGACCTGGGCCGCGGGAATCACATGGTCCGGGAGAGGCTGCGCGCGGGCGCCTGGGAGTTGTGGTCCCCACGCGCGCCCCACCCCGCGGCTGCAGTTGGGACCGGGACAGGACTACGCGCCCAGTCCTCCGGCGTGCCTGCGGAGGTGTCTGCGAGCGATCGCCCGAGTGTTTCCGTTTCCCTGATTGTTTTGTGTTTGACTTTGACTTGGCAATTACAATAAAAAAAAAGTTTATTGCTAAGTGTAATAAGCACATGGGAGGTGGACAATGGAAAAATCCGTTCTTATGGACACAATCACAACAAATTAGTGTAAATTAAATGAGATGTGCCCCTGACTTCGACTTGTTTTATGGTAAACACTTATTTGGAAGACAGTTCAAGGGGGAGTGGAGTGGATTGAAGAGCTTTTCAATTGGCAGGTTCACTCCCCAAATGTTCTAAACAGCCAGCTGGGACCAGGCTGAAGCCAGGAGCCTGGAATTTCTTTGAGGTTCCCCACAGGGGTGGCGGAAACCCAAGCCCGTGCTGCCCCAGACTTTTAAAGTAACCATTCTTTTCAAACCTTTTCCAATATGATAAACTTGGAGACACGGTTGTGATTTTTATTTGTATTTCTTTGACTACCAGGATGGGAAACTTCTCTTTCTTACTAGTATTTTCATTTTTGTGTATTGCCTGTCTATTTCATAGATCCATTTTTGCTGCTGTTTTAGTGGGGGGTGAGGGTGTTTTAATAGTGTTTAGTTGTCAGATATATTTAGTAACCCTTTGCCGGGTCATTCTGTAAGTTCGGAGGCTACTAAGAGAAACCTTTCAGCAAAGAACCTGAACTTGGATTCTGATCACAGCCCAAATCCTGAGCCATCTGCCATGGGACCTTGGGCAAATAGCTTTGCTTTCCCTGAGCCTTGGTCTCCTGGTCAGTAACATGAAGATAATAAAATAACAGATACTAGAGTCTGTGTCATAGAGATACGATACAGTTTAAGTAGAAATTAGGCCTCATTACGTGCCCCAATCCCTGAGTCCTAGTCTCATTTTTAAATTAAACTTGAAGGGCAGACTTATAGAGAAAGAGACAAATCTTGCATCTGCTCATTCACTCCCTGAATGGCCAAAACAGCTGGGGTTGAACTGGTTAGGAGCCCAGAGCCTGTTCTGGGTTGCTCATGTGAGTGTGGGGGTCCAAAGCCTTGAGCTATCCTCTGTTGCTTTCCCAGGCCATCAGCAGGATGCTGGGTCAAAAGTGGAGCAGCTGGGATTTAACATGGTGTCCATATGAGATGCTGGCACTGCAGGCAGCAGCTTTACTCTCTATGCCACAGTGCCAGCGCCCCTGACTCGTTCTCTCAGCATGAAACTTGGCAGTGGGAGCTTCTACAGTAAATGACAGAACTATCCCCATCTGGTGGGAAGAAGCCAGCTGCAGAAGACCACGCCAGTTGTTCAAGGTTGCCCAGGGAGCCTCAACTTGAGGGTTAATGGGGGGTGGAATGGGTGGGGATCATGGCTTGTGGTGGAGTTTGTGGGAGGGTGCTGCTGTCAGGATATGCTGTGCATTGCGGAGGCTACCAAGAGAAGCATCCAGGCCCAGAGAGTCGAGGAGCAATGAGGGGATTTGGAGGTTCTTTGTTACTTCTCTGGGCCTTGCCTGCAAAGCAGGAGTGAGAAGATCCCAGCTTCCAGAGGCGGCTGCTGTGTGCTGTAATCCTCCTGCCCCTGGACAGTTCTGCAACACAGGCTAATTCATTTGGCTGCTTTTGTGGGCTTTGTCACAATCTGATGACCTTCACACTTCTAACTTACAGCATTTAACCCTAACAGCGCTACAGTGCCCCATTTCTCTTGCACCGATACGCCTTCCTCCTCTTCTAGCCCCGCCCCGAAGAGAAAACTAAGTGCAAAGCATAGAAGCCTAGATTATAAAAATCATACTACAACCACCCACTACTTGGTCCATAGCAAGAAAGTGATGAAAGAGGAGCAAGGAGAGGAATGTTATGGAGTGCAGCCAGTGATTGCTCCTCCACCTATCCTTGTATGCTCTTCCACCCCCGTCCTAATTCAGATGTTGGACGCAGATGAGTCCAATTAGTCTTTTTAGCTACAAGCCCAGTTCCTGTTCCTGCCTATCCCAATGAGTGCCAATTAACTCCTTAACTCACAACACTTAGGTATTCGCTCCTACCCACCTGTGATTCATCTATCAACTGAGAGGGGACGGTATTGCATTGTTGTGTAACCATGCCCCTCACAAGCCCCTTTAAAAGGCCCACGAAGCAGGGGCTCTCTCTCTTTCTGGTCAGGCGTTTCTGTTACTCTGGCACCTTGACTGTTGGCTGATCCAGGACAGGTAATCCCCTGAGCATGGTCCCTGTGTACTGCTTTGACTGGACTTGTGATCTGCTATTTTAGTATGTTCTGTTATCACCAAGCTTGGTTAATAAAGACTCCTTAATAAAACCCGCACCCCGTAACAAGGAAGAGACCAACCGACAGAAGGGATCACCACTCAAGCACATGCAGCCATTGGGGCTGGTCCAGGCTGAAGCCAGGAGGCAGGAACTCAACTCGAGTTTTCCCTTGGAGGCACCGGGATTGTCACAGGAAGCTGCGATCAGAGCTGGGACTGGAACTCAGGCACTCTGTGATTTGGAGGGTAGGTGTTCCAAGCAGTGTCTTACTCTCTGCCCAGCTCCCCAATTCTACATAAAAGGAAAAAAAAGCATTTATTTTTATTGGAAAAGAATATTTACAGAGAGAAGGAAAGACAGGGATCATCTATCTTCTAGCTCACTCCTAAAATGGCCGCAATGGCCAGAGCTGAGCGAATCTGAAACCAGTCAATAGGAGTCACCCAGGAGCTTCTTCTGGGTCTGCCACGTGGGTGCAGGATCCCAAAGCTTTGGGCCATCCTCTACTGCTTTCCCAGGCCATAAGCAGGGAGCTGGATGGGAAGTGCAGCATCCGGGATAGGAACCAGAGACCATATAGGATCCTGGCACTTGCAAGGTGAGGATTTAGCCACTGAGCAATCATCCTGGGTCCAAGATTTTGTGTTTTGATAGCTCATGTAAGCCCCTTGAAAACCATACTCGGAGACCAGGGATTGGCTCCCCAGTAAGAAGAGATGGTGCTGCTCAGTGGGTGCAGAGATCAGCAACAGGCAGCCTAGTCAGTTGGTGGAGGAAAGGAGGGTGGGGGAATCAGAAAGGTCATTTCTCCTTCTGAGGTTCAGTAGAGGAACTTGAGGTCTCAACTGAGAGATCACATTTGTGACATGTCATTCCTGCAGAATAAGGGACCTTTCTGTGCATGCAGATAAGACTAAGTGACCCCAACATGGCAACTGCCCTCTTGTGGCCCTGGTTTCCCCATCTACCCAGTGAAGTGGAGCAGATGGCTCGTGGTTGCCCCTTTATGTGGTGATGACTTGCAGTCGTCAGGGTGCTTACGGTGGAGTCACACAGCCTCTGACCAGCACCCTTGCACACTTGCCATGGTGCTGCATGTAGCCAACCTCCTGTTTTTCCTTGATGCAGGGTGTGTGCTCTGAATAGCATGGTTAGTGAGGGAACTGCAAGCGGTTCATAGAAAAATATCTATTGGAAGAAAAGCGATGTATGTCTTTGAAACATGTTTTTTTGAATTAGAAGAAGTTTATCTTTGAATTCCATTTTCCATGAACTTTTTGAAGTAGTCTTATATCTAAGTATGAGGTATAGGGAGAGTGTAGGCATTCAAGATTGGCCAGAGCATGGAGACCGTGTGTGTGTGTGTGTGTGTGTGTGTTTAATGGGCTTTGTGCATGTGAAGCTAGAGAAAACAGGAGGCATGGCTCTGCCAACTCAGGGGCCATGTTAATCATTTGAAATTTAGGGGCCAGTGCCATGGCAGAGTAAGCTAAGCTTTGGCCTGTGATGACAGCATTCTATATAAGGTTCTGGTTCCAGTTTCTCCACTTCTGATCAACTTCGCTGTTATGGCCTGGGAAAGCAGCAAAAGACAGCCTGAGACCTTGGGCCCCAGCACCCATGTGGGAGACCCAGAAGAAGCTCCTGATTCCCAGCTCTGTACTAACTCAGCTCTGGCCATAGTGGCCATTTGGGGAGTAAACCAGCAGACAGAAGATCTCTCTCTAACTCTGGCTTTCAAACAAAAACAAACTAAATTTAAGTAAAATTAAGACTTTATTAGGACAATGGGAGGGACCACTAAAGAGTTTTAAATATATATTGTGTGCCCTGTACTTTCTTCCTTTTCTTTTCTCTGAATGGGACCACCCTAAAACTGCCATTTCCCTTATCACCCTCATTCCTACTCTGCTTTGTTTTTGTTCCCATAGCACATAATACCTTATAGCATATAGCTTCGTAGGTGGGGTCTTCAAAAAACTCAAGAAAAGGTGAAAGGTGGTGGGCATTGTGACACAGTGGGTTAAGCCAGTGCTTGCTATAGCAGCATCCCATTTAAAAGTTCTGGTTTGAGTCCTGGCTACTCCATTTCTTTCTTTTTTTTTTTTTTTAACATTTTATTTATTTATTGGAAAGTCAGATACACAGAGAGGAGAGACAGAGAGGAAGATCTTCCGTCCAATGATTCACTCCCCAAGTGAGCGCAACAGCCGATGCTATGCCGGTCCAAAGCCAGGATCCAGGAACTTCTTCCGGGTATGCCACAAGGGTATAGGGTTCCAAAGCTTTGGGCCGTCCTCGACTGCTTTCCCAGGCCACAAGCAGGGAGCTGGATGGGAAGTGGAGCTGCCTGGATTAGAACCGGCGCCCATATGGGATCCTGGTGCTTTCAAGGCGAGGACTTTAGCCACTAGGCCACGGCGCCGGGCCCACTACTCCATTTCTGATCCACCTTCCTGTCAATATACCTGGCAAGCAGCTAGGTGATAGCTCAAGAATTTGAGATCCTGCTATCCAGATGGGAGACTCAGGTGGAGTTCTGGGCACCTGGCTGTGGTCT